GAGACTAGTATAAATGATTCTAGTATTATTTTAAAAATATTAATGAAAGAAAACAATGGTATCATTTTGAAAATATATAATGAAAGAAAACAATCGTTACATAGTATGGTGTAATTTGTTACATTTTCATCAGTATCACACAAATTGATTTTCGTAAACTGATAATTGTTTGTTACTCTCAAGAAACTTCTGCAACTTTTGCAAGAAGTGTAAGTAGGTGGTACACCAATGTCACCAGTTTGATCTGAACCCGGTCCAAGCGTCATCAGCACGGTGGAAGATCCTTAGGCGGAGGCAGGACCGATAGATCTAATCCCGGTCCATCTTCTACAACAAATGCCATCTTCAATCCCCACCCGGTATGAAGCTCCAAATGACAGTGCATGAACCAAACACCTAAAAATTCAAACAAATGAACCAAAGCTTATAGTGGTAAATAACCAACAAGTCTATATGTCGTGTGGTACATGTTAATTAAAGTTTGCGATTACCTGGATTATCAGCTCTAAACCGAATGGCAGTCCAACCACCTGTGGGAACACCGACTGTATTTCTCTCAACAGGATCAACTAAGTTGTACTTAGCAGGGTCCTTGGCAGGATCAAAGTTCCCAATCCCAGTTCCAACAACAAAGAAGTTGTATCCGTGGAGATGGAACGGATGCGACTCCACTGTTAGGAGATTTGTGTCTTGCAAAACAAGCTCAACCGTCGAATTGAACGCAATCTTGCTCAGTCTAGTTCCAGTTGATGTCCCAAGATTGGCTGTGAGTGGTGCACCAGTGTAGTTGAAAGGAGTTGAAGGCCTATCAGGGAAGTCGGTTTTGAACACCCCTTTGAGATTGAAGTAATGTGCTTGAAGAAGACCGACCTGAGGCATTTCGAAAGAGATGTTGTTCAAGGAAGCAACAAATCGTGTTCCGTTGATGCAACTAGGGCACGATTCTTTCCCGAAACCAATGGTGTAGAAGAGTTTCCGGTCGACTTTGAGAGGCACATTGGCCGGAAAGTTTGGAGTGTTTAGGCTTCTGAGCTTCTTGTTGTAGCTTAAAGCGAAGGACGTGTCGTTAGGGTTAGGCAATTGAGGAAGGCTTGGCAGGATGGTGTTCAGAACTCCTTGGTATTGGAGAATGGCAGTGGCTGTCTTGTTGTCTACGGGAACTGGAGCATCCATGAAAGGCCTAGCAGCCATGAAGTATCTGCCTGAAGCTTGATTGGCTTTGACCAAAACGTTTGTGGTCTGGCCTGGTGCAATTAGTATGGCTTGAGTAGTGAAGGGTTTGGTGTAAACTGCATCGACCTCCACCACTGTCAGGTTGTGTCCAGCAATGCAGAAGAAAAGTTCGTCATTGAGAGCAGCGTTGATGATTCTGAGGAGATAGGTCTTCCCTTGCTCAACCTCCATTGCAAAAGTATCTAAACCAAAGAAAATGGAACAAAATTAAATTACAATTTTTTGCAATTGTGCTTATGTTGAAGCTGAAAGTGTGATTGTGTTTAGAAATTTTTTTTTTTTTTTTTTTGGGGGGGGGAAGGGTGCGGTTTGGAGTTAAACATTTTGGCTTTATAGGGTTTAATTTTAGCATTTCAACTCTGTACAGGACGTTCTGTCATTTTTAAAGACAAGATGTGCTGAGAAAACCTCACTTATACTCTTCAATTCTGATTCCATTTATTGAAACGGTTGAACATTTTAGTTGTAAAATCGTCATTTCAAGCTTAGAGATTAGGTTTAGTATTGGTGTAGTTTTTAAAAGTAGGCTTGCTTACGTTTCTCAGAGCAAGGAAACAATGGCCCTGGCTTGCCATTGATGGTGTGAGCATCTGAGGAGTTTGGTGGCAATCCCAAGCTGTTTGCCTTGTTGACAAAGGTTTCCACATCCACATTCCACCATTCTCCAAGTATAATCTCAGTTTCCCTATACGGCTGTGGGAATGGGAATGGAGTTCTTTGTTTAGGCATGATCACAATTGCTCCATAGACAGTAGCCCTTAGCCAAAGAATATGTGCATGCCACCACAAAGTTCCTCTTTGCCCTGTCACATTGAAGTCGTATGTGTAGCTACTTCCGGTCTGGATCGGACATTGGGTCACATAAGCTGGTCCATCTGCCCAACCATTTCGGTACTGCTTCAATCCATGCCTGCAAAGAAAGGATTAAATTAAACCCTCTAAATGTTTCTGCTAAACCAACATATTTTTCTTGGAGAACCGGTAATTAGTACTCTGATACGAAAAAAGGTTGTGATAAAAAAAGGCTGGTAGTTTAGGTTAATTCTTACCAGTGAATTGACATGTTGTATTGAGCATGGTTTGTGACATTGATTTGAAGTCTGTCACCTTCCCGGACATAGATCGTAGGCCCTGGAAATCCGCCATTTACAGTAACAATCGGTTTTGCATGGCACAATCTGCTCACCTTCTTTACTTGAACCTGTAAAAGCACACAGATGAGGATTTTATCGAATAAAAAACAATGCACGGAGTACTACTTTTTCTTCTTTTTTTTCTTTGTTTCTTGTAATGCATGGAAACAACTCACATCAAACTGGTATTTCTTAATAGCAGCTTCAGCTGGAGAAGTGATTAAGCCAAGAAAACCGCAAAAGACAAACACGAACGTGCATAAAAATCTTTTCCAGAGGCAGCTGCTAGCCATTTCGATTCTCTCGTTTGATCGCAGCTTCTTAAATGTTTATGTGAAGAGGCACTGAGGCATGGAGACTAAGATGACAAATATTTATATGAATGTGTTGAGGCAAAATTTGCATTTGTTTTTTCAAGTTTGTTAAGGGGCTTCTGGCTCAATTAACTAATAATTAGGTAGGAATTGTGCTGGACATGAAACCTTGCAAGCAAAATTCTGAAAGGGACTCGGATTGTCTTTGACTGACTTTAAGGTTGGGATTGCTAAAACTAGGGACAAGATTTCAGATTTCAGAAACTTCAGATTTGTAAAATGGATAAAGGATGTATTTTGACAGGAACATTTTTTTTTTCTACATGTACACCAACCAAAACCCTAAATGCAGTGCCAATCTTTACCGTTAAGGGAAAGGCATAGCTTAATGAATATGGTAATGGTACTGCTAAAGGGTTCTTGACGAGGGAGACTCACGGGTATGCACCTGGCATGCCATGTCTGTTTAAGTCAATCACGTGCCTTTATGTGTCATCTTTATAAATTAAACATTTGAATTTTCTCATGTAGCCGTAAATAGCTCACGTGGAACTGCATAAAACGTGATTAATTTGAGGCACCGCTAATGCGATAGACTAGTTACTAGGGAGTTAATTACTCTCTTAATTATTTGCCATAAGCAAGTTTTCAGTGTAATAACATTGCTATATATTATTACAATGAACTCATGTTTGACACGTATATTTTATTGATATTGTAACCTAGGTCCATGATCAATCATGTCTTCTACATCATTGTAACACATGAATTAGTGATACTAGATGATGGGGTGGCAATTCAAACAATTAAACCCGATAACCGTAGATATCCGTCTGAATGAAATGGATTTGGAGATGATGGGCTGCATTTTGGGAGTTGCATTTTGTGAGAAAGTTCAAAGTTTTGAATCCAAATCAATGAGAATTCAATGATGCTTATGAGAGATACAAAAGATTAGCCAACATCATCACTGCTTTAAATTCAATACTTTAATAATTTACACATAAAATGTTCCAAGTTTATTGTCTCTCTTCACGAGTCTCACAATCAAGAAATTGATGGATATTTAATGAAAAAATTAGTCTCTACAAAATTATAGTGCGTCAACCGAACTAATATTTTTTTTTTTTGTATTGATGAAAATGGATATAACCCTTAACTGATGGGGAATCCGTTACCCCGTGAATATAATTATGGATGATCTCCGATGGTTAATAAATTTGCAGTTATGAATATGATTAATTTTCGTGGTTATGAGAATGGCCATTGGACCAAGAATTTACAGGAACATTTGGAACATTTCATTTCTAAGCAAACATTTATGTCTCTGTGCCGAACTGTTACCATTCATATTATATAGTCACACTTATCATCATGAGGAGTTAAAGGTCTTTGCAGAATGTCAAATGGGCAATTCAGGTCATCTACAATCGAGGGCTAGGTCAAAAGGCTTGTGGGCCCCACCATGCTAAAAATTGGAGAACCAGCCAAAGGGCTAGCCAAGAGTAGCCAGCCAGCCCTATAGCCCAGCCCAAATAGATGCTACCTAACGTCAGGTTACTGCTGGATTTTTTAGCAAAAATTTTTTTCCTAGAAATACATAAGTCATTTCTACCCCATTTCTCACATCATTTTCACCATTTCATACTATCTTACATCATTTTATTTCAATTTTTTACCAATTTTTCACATCATTTTCATTATATAAAGATAAGAAATCTAAAGGCTTATTAATTTAGCAACACGTGGCACTCAAAATATGTCCAAAATCTTATTTTAATATTGTAGTTTAGTTCAATTAACCATATGAATTCAATTAAAATAATAAATTATTGAGAATGCTAAAAAATAACCTATTTTGGTTGGAGATGAGTTTTTTTGTCAAAAAGCTATGCTTTGGCCCATGACTCTTTGACCTTCTTGGTTGGATATGGTATAAAATATGGTATGGCACTATTCATTAGAAAATAATTTCTTGCAAGATTATAGAGTTAGACATGACCCTTCAGCCCTCTTGAGATGGCCTCAAATGCTTCACTGCTATGATGGGGAGCTGAAGGTCTTTGCAGAGTATCGTATGGGCATTTCAAATGCTTCACCAGCTGCTATGCTTCTTCAGTTGGGTCAGATGTCATCCTCCAAAAGAAGTTGCTTATAGTAATAGCTACGAATTTTGGTCTATTAGAATCCGAAATATAAAAAAAAAAAAAAAAACAGGAGCGTGTAAAAATGGGTAGAAATCATTTCTATACTTTCTTTTTTTTTTTTTTTTGGAGAAATCATTTCTCTACTTAATATTGCTAGAAAGAAGTGCAAAGCATTCGTCTGAAAGCATTTTATTAATTCCTCAAGTGGAGATCATAACTCAAGATTGCTAGAAAGACAACTTCTTGAAGAAGTGCGACCTATATATTTTCTGCACAGATACACTTTTATACATCTTATTTAATACATTTTCCACCCTCAAGCCTTCTAATGTGACACATTAGACTTGAGTAGTTTTATTTTTTTAGAAATAAGAACTTGGTTTTATGCTGGCTGGTAGTTCTTGGCCTTCTCCGCCTCACGCTTCCTCAACGATGATGAACTCGGCCTATCTCCGCCGGATCCAGAATACAGATCTACAACTTCAATCTGCAGAATACCCAAAAAATCAAGGCCTAAAAAAGAATATTTTTCAAAGAAATTGTAGTCTACATTTTTACGATTAGTATATCATAAAATGATAAGTTCACGGCAACCAAGTCCAACTCAAACCTTAAGCTGCGGAAGGCCCTTCTCAGCTCTCTTCTTATTAACAGACAGTCCGCCGTCTAGCGTCTCCTTGCTGCCAGAAATCAAATCTACAAAATTAGCTAGGGAAGAAATAACGCCTGCCAACAGTAAGACGGAGACCCGAAAATGCACATTATGCCGCCTTATAGACTTCAAGAGTGTAGCAAAGACGATCGTGATGAGGGTTACATGTACATTTTTTTGATAAACCGCTACTCGGGGACATTGTAACCGAATTGAAATGTTCACACAGATCAAAAGAAAAAGATGTAATCAATCCGCAACGAACCTGACAACAATTGCCTCCAGATTCTCATCAACTATTGCAGGGCCATAGGGGTCCGTAATAGGTTGAACTTGCACTTCAAGCGACTGCGAGATAGACTGCAATTTTTGGCAAAAATTTGAGGACTAAGAGTGTCATTCCACGACATTAAACAAAACAAAAAAACAAAAATTCTGAAAAAAATGAGAACAGATTAAAGACATATGAAAGTAGTGAGTTTACTTCTATAGCTTTGTGAACTAAAGTTGAAAGGTTAATTACAATTACATTCCTTGAAATTCAACTCGAGCTTGTTTAACTCCTTCAAACTCAAATATTGCTAGCTGTTACTTAACTCCGCTAAGATTCAACTCATGTCTCACTTTGTCCTTAATCTCAAAATCTATACATAAATTTTTCTTAACAATGGGGGTCATATCTGTGCCACGTAAACAGTTTTGACAAACTTTAACGGTATAGCACAAAGTGAGCCACAAATTGAGTTTTAAGAGGTTAAGTGAAAAGATTTAATGTTTTCAGGAGGTTCAGTAATACTTGAGTTGAATTTCAGATGTATTGTTGTAAATAAGCATTTTTCTTCGAGTTTATTCCCTAACTACATCAAATGTTTATATCTTCTCATTCAACACTTAATTTCTACTTAAAATTCAAACCCAAAATCTCTTTTGTAAGTAGTACATTAAATCCAATATCAATATTAAAAAATTCCAAGTACATACCTTGAGGTAATTTTCAACATTATTCATCCTTTCCTCAACGGGTTGTATCAACTCAGCAAACTGCCAAAATTAAAAAATAAATAATGGATACATTAAACACACTGAAAACAAATTATGATTAAGATTGGAATTAAACTGTAAATACATGAAATCACAGAAAAGCTGAAGGATGATTAATATAAACCTGTTTGTTGGCCAACATAGGTCCGTCGCAAATTCCAACCACAACTCGATCCCTAGCCAAGTCCGTCGCGGCCTGGTTCCGTTTCCACCACCACCATTATTTTTCATCATCTCAAAATTTACAAACCCAAAAAGTGAAAACACTAAAACTAAAACGGAGAAGAGACCTTGAGAAAATATCGATGGCCGTTGTGTAAGCGGTCAAAGGTGCCGCCAAGAACCACGGCTCCATATGTATTCGGCGGAGAGAGCTTGTAATTCGCTATAACATCAGAAGTCGCCATATTCACTGCAGCAGCTCCTCAATATAACTTGCATGCAAAAACCTTTAAGGGGTCAGCAACACTTACACCACTACTTTCCTCACGTGTCACTTCGACTAGGTTCGAAGTTAAATAAAATACCCACGATAATATAAAGCCAGTTTCAAAACTGAGCATGTTTAAGCGAAAACACAAGCAAATAGAAGTGGAAAACTGAAAAAAATAATAATAATAATAATAATTCGAGAAGGATGCATGCATGATAACCAACCAATATAACAAGCAGTTGAGCCCATACTCATATATATATATATATATATATAAACACTGAAACAAACAAATTCACAAGATGTACAATCTTCAGAACAGTTATCAACAGCTTAGGGAGTGATTAAACGATTATGATTATGGTGTTTGCACGGTTAAAGGGAGGAATAAGGACTTTCCTCGCTCCTTATTGAGGATTAGGAGAGAGCATCTTTCAACAACAAAAGGTTATCAAACATGCAAAACTTACGTGTGCAAACCAAGAAAACCCAAGAACAATTTTCAACGGAAAGTTAGACACTTCAAAAATACCATTTTACTAATACAGTTTTTTCCCTTGTGTATTTATAAAGGTGAAGTGTGGACTTAGAGCGCTAATACATTTTCAGCAGTAAACATTACCAATTCACAGTTGGAATGAATGTAAACATTGAATCACAAACAAAAAAATCACGGTAAAAAAATACAATAGAACACAAAAAAAATACCTTGATCCCGAAGCTATAGCAAGACTCTAGGTTACCCTAAACCCTTTATATGGGAGCAGAGTCGGCAACAAGTGGTGAGTGGGCAGATGATGTGTCACATGGCTAGAAATGCTGACATGATGAGATAACACATACTAAGTGGCAAAGTCTCGATTGGATTTGTATCGGTGTTCGGCCATGCATATCCTTTGAAGGCACAGCATCTAGAATTGTGTAGGGTGAAAATGGGTCATTTGAAACCTTGAGAAAAGGAAATAACGAAGACCAACAAAAAAAATTGTGACATCTCAAGTACCAATTAGACCTAGGTTCTGTTCAATCCTACAAATATATATATATAGGAATTGCTTAAGGGGAGGGATCCCCATTTTTTCAAAAAAATGGGGACACGCTCCCCACCGTTGGATTTGAATTAAATGAAATCCTGTGGTTGAGATTCTATGGCCTGTGTTTTAATCTCAACCACACAATTTCATTAAAGTCAATCTAACGGTGGGGAGCGTGTTCCCATTTTTTTTTAAAAAATGGGAATCCCTCCCCTTAAGCTCTCTGTGTATATATATATATATATCTAAAAGGAGATTCGAACTTTGGAAATTTTCTACTAATAAAAAGAGAGATCTTCAGTATACAGATTCAAAATGTTAAACAGGCTGACTCAACCTCACTAACCCGTTTAAAATCAGCCCATCAAAGATTCGGTCCGTTCTCAAGCTGGACCACTTAGTAATGAGACGACTTTATATAAATACAAGAGATTCTGTTTATAAACACGAGTTTGTTATAAATATGTAAAAGTTAGAGAGATAACCTTTACTAGTGACAGGAATGAAGCAGGTGTAAAATATCACATTGTAACTATAGCATTAGGGGATGACAAATAAAAGAGGGAGGAATAGATGATGTTATTGATCTTTCTTTCTTTCTATGCATTGAAAGTATACAGAGCGCTCTATTTATAGAGCAACTCCAAACTAATGCATTAACTGCATATTGAAGTTTACAGCACTTCCTTTGACAATACAATCTCCATGCATTTCCAAATTCAATTTCACTTTGCATGGGCATTGAAAATGTGCGTGTGTGAGCATTCATAACAATGCCAACGTTTTCAACACTCCCCCTTGAATGCCCACATATCAACATGAGTTGCCTCGTTAAAACCTCACTTGGAAAAACCATAGCGAAGGAAAAAGAGTACAACTTTTCCTGGATTGTTGATATAGTGTTAAATATGCTTATGTTGCCTCGTTAAAACCTTGATAGAAAAAACTCAGTGGGAAAAATCCTAATCAAAGGAAAAAGAGTACACCAGGCATGTATCATGGATGCTCCCCCTGATATATATCTCTCCCTGATTCCGCATTCTCCAAATTTAGATGTTTGATAAATCGACGTAATCCGATACTTTGTACTAACTTTTGAAACGTGCATTTCGGTAGAGATTTGGTGAACAAATCTGCCAAATTTTCATTAGAACGGATTTGTCTAACTTCAATAACTTTAGCCTTCTGAAGCTCATGTGCACTGAAATTTTTTGGAAATATGCGTTTAGTTTTATCGCCCTTCATGAATCCTTCCTTTATTTGGGTAACACAGGCTGCATTATCTTCATGAATGACAGTTGGATTGTCTGTCTACGAAGTTAGACCACATGAATTCCGGATATGATTGATCATTGATCTTAACCAAGAACATTCATGACTTGCTTCATGTAAAGCAAGTATTTCTGAGTGATTGGAAGATGTAGCAACTAGTGTTTAGTTTGTTGAGAGCCATGAGATTGTTGTATCTCCATTCTTGAACACATATCCAGTTTGTGAGCGGGCTTTAAGCGGATCAGATAGAAAACCAGCATCTGCATATCCAACAAAGACCTGGTCATTTGTGGATTTCTCTGAGTAAAAGAGACCCATGTCTGTTGTCCCACGAAGGTATCGCAATACATCTTTGACACCTTTCCAATGACGAATTGTTGGAGCAGAGCTATACCTTGCTAACAAGTTGACTGAAAATGCTATATCTGATCTAGTACATTGTGCTAAATACAACAAAGCACCTATTGCACTCAGATATGGTACTTCTGGACCAAGAACCAGTTCATCATCTTCTTTTGAACGGAATGGATCTTTCTTAACGTCCAGAGAACGAACGATCATTGGTGTGTTGAATGGATAAGCCTTGTCCATACCAAATCGCTTTAGGATTTTTTCAATGTAAGCTGATTGGTGGACCAAAATTCCACTAACACAATGCTCGATCTGCAGGCCGAGACAAAATTTTGTTTTTCCAAGGTCTTTCATTTCAAATTCGTTTTTCAGATATTCAGCAGTTTTATTGAGCTCTTCAAGGGTTCCAACTAGGTTCATATCATCGACATATACTGCCACTATAGCAAATCCAGAGTTGGATTTCTTAATGAACACACAAGGGCAAATGACATTGTTGATATACCCTTCTTTGATCAAATACTCACTGAGACGATTGTACCACATTCGTCCAGATTGTTTCAGCCCATACAATGATCGCCTTAATTTGATCGAGAGCATACCTCGTGATTTGTTAGTTGTTTCAAGTGACTTAAGTCCTTCTGGGACTTTCATATATATGTCAGTATCTAATTCTCCATATAGATACGCGGTGATGACATCCATAAGTCGCATGTCAAGTGTTTCTGAAACCACTACACTTATTAAGTTACGAAATGTAATTGCGTCCATTACAGGAGAGTATGTCTCCTCATAATCAATTCCAGGTCTTTGCAAAAAACCTTGTGCAATGAGTCGTGCTTTATATCTTGCAATCTCATTTTTCTCATTGCGTTTCCTTGTGAATACCCATTTGTAACCCACGGGGTTTACACTAGGCGGGGTTTGGACTACTGGTCCAAAAACATTTCGCCTTTCCAAGGAATTTAATTTTACCTGGATTTCATCTTTCCACTTAGGCCAACTTGTCTCTGTTTACTATATCAACAGAGTGGGGCTCAATATCATCACTTAATATGATTTCAGTGGCTACTGCGAATGCGAACATATCGTCAATGATTATTTCATTCTGATCCCACAATTCATTAGTACATGAATAATTTATTGGGATTTCTTTGCTCTCATGTACTGTTGTCTCTTCAGGGACATATGTCTCATCAATGACATTTTCTGTTTCTGGAAGTCCAGAATCATGAATTGTGATTTGTCATTCATTCTCTTTTCCTAAATGATTTCATTTGGATTCAACTATGCCCTTGTCTTTCTCTTTCGAATGGCTGAATCTTTTGAACCTGGGGGTTTACCACGCTTCAGGCGTGCACCAGATGAATCATTCGCTGCCACTTTATTTTGTCCAACAAGGACATCAATCCTTGCAGGTGCATTGCAGCTGGTATATGTGATTTTGTCACTTTCATAGCATCATTAAATACATATGGCATTTGATTGGCAATGTTTTAAAGATGAACAATCAGTTTCACTTCATATTCACATTGAGTGCTACGTGGATCAAAATGAGACAATGTGGGAACAACCCATGTCAGCTTTTTCCGCTCTTCTGGAACGATCTTTTCTCCCCCTAACGACGGGAAGATTGTCTTGTCAAAGTGACAATCAGCAAAACGAGCTGTAAACATATCACCTGTCAAGGGTTCCAAATATCTAATATAGATGGTGAATCAAAACCCACATAAATTCCCAGTCTACGATGAGGTCCCATTTTTGTGCGTTGCGAGGGTGCAATAGGCACATAAACAACACAACCAAAAACTCGTAAATGTGAAATGTTTGGCTGATGCCCAAACACAAGTTGTACTGAGGAGTATTGGTGGTTGGCTATAGGTCTCAATCGAACCAATGATGTAGCATGTAAGATGACATGTCCCCATGCAGAAACTGGCAATTTTGTTTTCATGAGCAAAGTGCGAGCTATTAACTGAAGCCGCTTGATCAATGCTTCTGCTAGATCATTTTGAGTATGGACATGAGGAACATGGTGTTCAACATCAATGCCCAATGTTATGCAATAATCATCAACGGTTTAAGACGTAAATTCACCAGCATTATCAAGTCGGATTGACTTAATGGAAGTAATTTGGGAACTGTGTTCGTAACTTAATTATTTGAGTAAGAAGTCTCGCAAAAGCTACATTTTGAGTAGACAAGAGACAAACATATGACCATCTAGTAGATGCATCAACCAAAACCATAAAATATCGAAATGGTCCACAAGATGGTTGAATAGGTCCATAAATATCCCTTTGAATTCTTTGCAAAAATGATGGGGATTTAGCATCAACCTTTAGTTGTGATGATCTAATTACCAACTTCCCTTGAGAACAAGCTTTGCAAGGGTTATCATTTGTGATAGCAATATGTTTGCTCAATAATGGATGTCTATTAGAGTTGGTAATTATCCTACGCATCATGGTAGATCCTGGGTGACCCAGACGGTCATGCCAAAGCATGTAAACTTTTGAATCAATGAACTTCTGGTTCATGACGGTATGTGATTCAACTGTCTTTATGTATGTATAATACAATCCACTCGACAAACCATGCAACTTCTCCAATATGGGTATCATTGGAGGTAATGCATAGATACTCCACATTTTCTAAACTTTTCTTTTCAATGTGGTATCCATTTAAACGTATGTCTTTGAAACTCAACAAATTTCGAGTAGATCGAGTAGCGTACAACGCATTCTGTATGGACAATATTGTTCCATTTGGTAACATAATCTGGGCTTTCCCTGAGCCTTCAATTACATCTGAAAGTCCTGATATTGTTGTTACCCATACCTTTGTAAGCATCAATCTTGAGAAATACTTTTGATCTCGAAGTACTGTATGGTTAGTTGCGCAGTCTGCAAGAGAAATATCTTCGCAATTTCTCATGTTTTGAGAATGACTATAGTTTTTATCCATGCTCTCTGAGTACAGGAATCAGAGTTAGAAGCAAGTTATAACAGGAAATTTACATGCCACTTTTATTGAATCTGAAATGCTAGTTTTAAACTACAAGTTCATCATAATAAAAGTACATCAAACATAAATGATTCAGTCGGACCGATACACTTCATTCCCCCTTTCCACAATGAAGTCTGAAACATCTAAGTGAGTTGTGTTCAACTGCCCTGATAAGTCGCACACTGGATCAGGTATATCCATTGGTTTAGCCTGGTCGAGAAAATTAATCTCGACACCTTTCTCCTTGAGGAAGGCTTGATACAGATCCACCAGATGTTTTGGGGTATGACAAGTACGCACCCAATGCCCATTGCCACCACACCTATGGCAAGCTCTTTCAAAGTTCATGGGAGCATTGTTCATATGAGCTTTGCCTTTGTGGCGATTCAAATTTTTGAAACTTTGGTCTGAATTATGTCTTGGAACCTGGTTGTGAAACTGACCACCATGGTTCTTGCCTTTCCTGTTCCACTGACCTCGCTTATGGCCACGTCCTCATTTATGATTATCGCCACCAGAGGTTGTGGCGTTCACTTCGAGGGAAGCAGCATTCACTTCTAGGAATGGTGCAGATCCAGTAGGTCGGGACTGATTATTTTTCATCAAGAGCTCATTGTTTTGTTCAGTTACCAAGAGCACAGATATCTATTGGTTGTATTCAGTGAAGTCTCACGCTCTATACTGCTGTTGCAGGAGCACATTAGAGGCATGAAATGTGCTGAAAGTTTTTTCTAGCAAATCTTCCTCAATAATAGTATCCCCACAGAGCTTCATCTGAGATGTAATTCTGAACAACGCAGAATTGTACTCTGCCACTGACTTGAAATCCTAGATCCTTAGGTGAGTCCACTCATAGCGAGCCCTTGGAAGAATCACCGTTGTCTGGTGATTGTCTCTGTTCTCAAGGCCTTCTAGAGAACTAACGAATCTTCAATCGTTAAGTACTCGTTTTTTAGTCCCTCATCAAGATGGCGACGAATAAAGATCATGGCCTTCGCCCGATCTTGAGAGGATGAGATGTTCTCTTCCCTGATGGTATCTCCAAGATTCCCTGCTTCCAGATAGATCTTGGTATCCAATACCTAGGTAAGGTAATTCTTCCCAGTAATGTCCAGGGCAACAAAATCAAGCTTCGCCAAGTTCGTCATTTTTTTTTTCTGAAAGAAAATGAGATGTGTAAGAACTTGCAATAATATGTATTTCTGGAGGAATATAGTGTTAGAATTTCTGGTTCTTACAAATTTTGCATTTTGATCTTCAGGCCAAAATGATAAACACTCGAAACTTCAGGCTCGAGATTTTCAAGATGAATGAGGAGGACGATTGAACCGCACCATTCTCATTGAAATAATATAACATAGAATGGGCGATTATTTCGCATCACTCAAGTAGCAGGAAAAATTTAAATACGCAGAGCAGGGTGGGCGATTATACCGCACCACCTAAAATTGCAATGAAATTAAGCAGACAAATTTAAATATGCAGGGTAGGGTGGGCGATTATACCGCACCACCTAAAATTGCAGTAAAATTCGATCTGCAGTCCAAGATAGGCAATGATACCGCACCATCTTGGATCGCAGTAAGATTAAATTTGCAGTTCAAGATGGGTGATTGTACCGCACCATCTTGGATTGCAGTAAAATCAACATAAATAAATATTGGGTTAGTAATCAAGATCTACACCAAACAAGAAATCAAAGATGTATGTAACTGTTAAGTTGAGAACTAAAAGCAGGCATAGAGCAAACAGTTCGTCGGGAGGGTATATCGCGCAGTTAAGGCAAAGGAAGAAGATGAACAGTAAAAACCTTAGAGGAAACATTTTTTCCTTTCTTTACTTCGGCAAAGAGAAATGAGAAAATGATTAGGTTTTAGAGACTCGTGTTGATAACGAGTTATAAATATGTAAAAGTTAGAGAGATAACCTTTACTAGTAACAGGAACGAATCAGGTGTAAAATATCACACTATAACTATAGCACTAGGGGATGACAAATAAAAGAGAGAGGAATAGATGATGTTATTGATCTTTCTTTCTGTGTGTTGAAAGTATACGGAGCGCTCTATTTATAGAGCAACTCCAAACTAATGCATTAACTGCACATTGAAGTTTACAGCACTTCCTTTTGACAATACAATCTCCATGCATTTCCAAATTCAATTTCACTTTGCATGGGCATTGAAAATGTGTGTGTGTGGGCATTCATAACAATGCCAATGTTTTCAACAGAGTTCCAAATGTAAACAAAATCACTCTATAAATATCTAATTATAAATAATAAAAAAATCAGGGTCTTACATAGCAAACGATATTAAACGCATTACCTTGTTTGGTAAGCACATTACAAAACCCCTGGCCTTGGATCCTTTGTTTATGCTCTTCCCGTGTCATGGGAAAACATATGGATATGGACATTGAGTTCTGAAACTTTTACGGAGACCTAAAAAAAAAAGCAGACATTTTATTGACATTTACTGCACTGAGGACTCAGTTAAAACCTCAGATATGTTCCTATTGACAAAACACCAGCAGTAAATCAAACAACACATTCTGCATTTGCAGAACTTTTACATAAGAAACAGTCTAACTTTGAAGAGTATATGTTGGGGGAATGTCCCGAAGTGATCCACATGCGTTGATGAGCCGAAATTGAAGGACGTTACCATTTTACTCATCTTCTTTCGCTCTGCAACGAACAGCTCAATTGACTTATGGATTACTGCACGATCTCCAGTTTGATTGTTTTCGGCACAGATACACTCTTCTACATCTTATTTTCATACAATTTTTCCGCCCTCAAGTCTTCGAACGGGACAGATTACACTTGCATAGCTTCACGTACACTTTTTGGTAAATAAGAACTTATGATAGTGGTTGGTTCTTGGCCTTCTCCGCCTCAAGCTCCCTTAATGATGTTGAACTAAGCTTATCTCCACGAGATCCTTCAGACACTAGATCTACAACTTCAATCTGCACGAAACAGACTAAATTGAGGCCTAACAGCCATAAAGGTTTTCAAAGTAACAGAAAATAGTCTAGTTTTAATATGTTAATGTCAGGAAGATATCGAATTTGCAGCAACCAACTACCTTAAGCTGTGAGAGACCTCGGTCAACTCTCTTCTTATTAACAGACAGTCCACCCGGTAAAGTCTCCTTGCTGCCAAAAATTAAATCTACATAATTAGTGAAGAAATACCTCTACCAACATTTTAAGAGGGAGACTCGATATTGTGCAGGCTGAGGTAAGTCGACTTATTCCCTATTTTAAACGTAAACTGAATCTTTCCGATTCAAAGCAGGCAGACAAGTTTTGAATTTTAAAGCGGGTGATGATCTACAATTCACGGTCAAATGGAAGTTGTCCTTAAAACCTACTGGACCTCAAGACTGAAGCAAAGACCAAAAGAAATCTACTATTGGAAATCTAGCAAAGGCCAAAAGAAAAAGAAGTAAATCTGAAACAAACCTGACAACAATTGCCTCTAAATTCTCATCGACTATTGAGGGACCATAGGGGTCCGTAATAGGTTCAACTTGCACTACCAGCCCCTGCTTGATAGACTGCAAATATTCGTAAGAAACTGAGAACTGAAAATATCATTATAGAACATAAGAGAACTAGGCATTTTCTACGACACAACAACGGCGCAGGAAAACAACACAGAAATTATTGAATGCATTATCCTCCTGAGATAGCAGGGTTGATGGTCCATAAATACCGCCACATAGTCTACTTTCTGTAACCCTTACCAAAATTGAAATAATAGCAAATGTCAACCAGAAATTGAGATATAAAGAGATGAAAGCGGTATGGACATACGGTGGCCAAACACATGAACCTGTTCAAACCGACAACAACAGCTACAACAGAATGAGCTGCATTGCAACTCATTCTTAATTGTTTGGATCAAATGTTAAAAAACATAAAAATAGAACATTCCGATTTATTACGGATTGAGAAGAAAGTTTTTCCAAGTGAACTATAACACCGTATTTTCCTTTGAGTATTTGAAATCCACCATACATTCCAAAGTTTATGCTTCGGAAAGTTCATCAAACCATTTCTATCTCTTCTTTCAATACAAACCAATTGAATCGCAATTCAAACAAATTCATGGAGCATAATACCTTGATGTAATTCTCAACACTATTGCTCCTTTCCTCAATGGGTTGTATCAAATCAGCAAACTGCCATATTCGGAACATAAACCGCAACATTAACATCGAAATCTACTTTATCAAGACAATAGTTTAAATTTTAAAGCCTTTCGGGAAAATCAATGCTAACACCAACTAAACCAGTTCGAATTAATGCACAAAATTCGTAAAATATGAATGAATGATGGATGAAAGCTAAGAACCTGCTTGTTAGCCAACATGGGTCCGTCGCAAATTCCGACCACAATCCGATCCCTTGCCAGCTCCGCCGCCGCCTGCTTCCATTTCCATCAAACCATTAATCTTAAAATTCACATACAAGAAGTAAATATAAAGGAAAAGATGAAGACACATACCTTGAGAAACAGGCGATGACCGTTGTGTAATCGGTCGAAAGTGCCGCCGATAACGACGGCTCCGTATGTATTCGGCGGAGAGAGCTTGGAGCTCACCAGCGAATCCTCCAAAACCGCCATTTTTGACGCGCGACTCCGAACTGTAGAAGCAAAAGTCTATCTCTTTCCGTATCTCTTCTTTTTTAGGGTCCTTTTTTTTCAGAAAAAGCCTGAAAGCGTTGGTCTTTTTGGTTGTCGGCTAACGAACATAATGAACCTGGACATCTTGCTTATGTGCCGGGTCGGGTTTTCAAATTTTGGTTAGTAGGGCCAAGTGTTCTTAGCTCCTCGAGCTGCTGAAGAGAGTTTTTATTTTTATTTTTTAACAAACGATATTGTTTATACTAGAGGGGAGAAGAAATGAGCTTAGTCTTATAATGAGCTAACAATAATGAAGTTCAAATTCGTCTTTGGTTCGAATCTAAGATCTCTCACTTACCAAGTGAAGAAAACAGAAATTAGATTGTAGTATTAAGTGATAGCTACGGAAGAATTTGAATACAACAGTTACGGAAACAGAGTTATTTGAAAACAGGACCTCGGTAGCGCTCATTTATTGGCATCTATAGTGTTACATGCCCCAACCTTACATCAATAAATTGGTAACAAACGGTTGAATCATCATTTCAAATTTACTTCCATAACGCAGACGTGAGTTAAATCAGTTGTTTGTGCTAGTGCGCATGCCTCCTTGCACCCAATCGGATCAGTTTACTCGTAAATTGAGTTGATAATAATATCGGGTTGTAAAAAATAGATCTACTACTCTAACAATGCAAAGCATGAAGAACCGGTAAGATCTGCAAAGTTCAAAAGAAGCATTACATAACTTTTCTTTCCAATAAGGACATTTGAGTTCTTTAAACAAGCTCTCTATCTCCCATCGGTAGCTAAACACAGTATGTTAGACTGTCCTTCCAGCCTAGCAGATCTTTGCTGTGAAATAATAGACTGCAAAATTATTGGCATTTGCTGCATTAGAACTGAACACTTCGACACTTTATAACCTCGGACGTGTTCCTATTGACAACACACCAACCAATGTTTAAATCGAATGACTTCTACACAACAATCTGCATTTGCAGAGTTTAAATCATCTTAACTGTTGTTAAACAATCTTTCAAGAAACTGTCGAGCTCCGAAGAGTATATGTCGGGGAAATTCCTGAAGTGATCCACATGAGGTGTTGTGCCGAAATTGAAGGACCGTACAATTCTACCCTTCCTCTTTTGCTCAGCCATGAACGACTCAATTGACTGGTGTGGAACGACTTTATCAGCAGTACTGTATAGGTAAAGCTGTGGGCAATCAGGACTGTTTTCCGAAAGGATAGAAACTACCTTCGTTAACCTCCTGCACGAAAACAATACAAAAGTCAATCATATACCTTTTAATTGAAAAGTTCTGCCCATTTTCTTGAACATCAAGTTATATATCATCTATGATTTACAAGCATTTAAATCAAAAACAAGCACTGCTTACTTATCCACATCAGGAAACTTTAGAAGACCTGAAAACAGCTTCTCCAATATCAGTAAAACCACGGCTTCGGAAAGTGGAGGCTTCTCTTCTTGCAGCTTTGACAAGCTTGCTGCATCTTCCGACTCATTTAATTCTCTAGCCTCAAATGCAGCGCTTGTTAAAGAGCTGCGTTTTTTCAAAATCGCAGCAGCAAATCCTGCTGCCCACACCTGTCAAGGTTAGAGAAGGTTATCATTTGCACACAGCACCATAAATGCAAAGCACAACGACGCCCTTCTGAATTCGTAACATATAGCTCAAGTTGAACTCACATTGATGTATAACCATAAAACAAAACATAAATATATAAAACCAACATATTTGAAATATTTGGCGAATCAGATTCAAAAACATTCCTCAGATTACATTGCAGATTCGATCAAAATGCAGAGAAATCAAAGCGAATTTGCATTGCAGGGTGCTTTGTTACATTCTAATAAGTAGTAAGTCATTTCAGATTCCACAAAATAGGTAATCCAATCAAAAGCAGATCCTATAGTCAATCTAAGCAAACAAATCCATCCAATTAAACCATGTCAAAAAACAGTTCTTATGTTATTCGATAGCAATCAATCGATACTTAAAAATCCGATTACACATGTCAAAAAGACCTTAGGATTAAAAGGTTCAGCTGCTCCTGAATCAACCACACACCCTTTAATCTTCTCCATCAGGTCTTGCCTCCGCTGCAGAATTTCAAGAATGGCACCATACCTGCAACAAACTAACTGTCATAAGCAACCTCCCAAAACCCGAAAATTGGCAACCCATGATAGCAGTAACACAAAGCAATCACATCCAAAACAAAGAGTACCTACACAAACCAACCCGTATTGCTGAACGTGTGAAAAAGCAAACACCTTTCTCCGCCATGCTCCGCCCACGAAGCGAGCTCCCGGGCCAAGTCTGAAACCCGATTTTCTACCCGGCGGCCCAAATCAAACCAGAGCACCTCCCTCGGATCAACGACGAAGGTCACGGCGTGAATGCCTCTGGAGTTGTACCATTCCACGTACCTCTTCAGATGCTTCGTCTTGGCGCCGAGCCAGCCCAGCAACACCACTCTCACTTCAAGGTTGTGGGTCCCGAAAGAACCCACATTTCCGACAATGCCACCGTGGAACGCCCGATTCGGGGTGGAAACGTCGTCGTTTGAGGGTGAGAGAGAGGGGTTGAAGCTGCTGAACGGCGACTGGGAGGAGAGAGAAAGGGGGAGGGATTTGAAGGGGTTCGGATTGAAGCAGAACGAGGAGTGCGACTGCGCGAGAGAAAGAGAAAAGGGGGTTCTTTTGCCGACGCCGTTTCGAGCGAGAGTGTGAAATATAAGCGAGGAATTTGCGGGCCGACGGAGTTTTGGGGAGAAAGCGAGGGCGGACGGCGTCGTTTTGGTACAGAGCTGGCGATTGAGACTGAGAATTCTCGCCGGAGCTTCCATGGAGCAAATGAAAATTTTCGGTTGGAGCAGTTGGGTTGTAGACGAAGAGGAAGAGCGCACGACCGTGAACCCGTGATCACCTAGAGATTATCAAACAAAACGACATCGCATATCCAAGGACGAGAAACGACAGACCGTTTAATCATGTGGGATCTCCTCCCACCACAACGCATAACGTAGACCAACCACGGAAAAGTTGAGCACTGTACAGTTTCCTCCTCATTTTACACCCAAAGATTTGAGAGGTATTCACGGCCATTGCGATGTCGTCGTCCGTACTGCCTTCGGCGAGAACAGAGCTCTTCAACCCAATTCATGAAACCAGGTTCATTGGCCTCACAAGACCATTTAATTGCAACAGTAAGCTCATCCACTCTATCTTTGCATTTAATTTACTAAAGTTTCGATTTTACTGACTTGGATTAGGTTAGTTGGCTAATAAGCCCGCCTTGTGCGGCCAAGTTTTAACTTAGGGTAGATTAGAGTAGTTTAGAATTTCGGAAAATGAAAAGTTTCAAATTTCTTTTTCTGGGTACTGACCAGTAAGTGTTGCATTTACTTGGAAGGAAGCAAATGTGTGATGAACAGGAGGAGTTTTGCTTTCAGAGGAGTTGCAGCTGCAGGACTCTCAGTCATGGGTTCTTCGTTGACTGCTCAGCCAGTTAAAGGTTAATCTCTTTACTTACCATCTTAGTTCATAATCTCTTTGCAAATTTTCCTGCTTTTAGGCAAAAGGGTTTTGGATTATGTGGGATTTTATTTTATTTTATTTTATTTTATTCTCTAGGTGTTGAAAGACTGGAATTTAAGCCGGAGGGGTACAATTTTTGGACATGGAGGGGTCACAAAATTCATTATGTGGTACAAGGAGAAGGGCCTCCAGTTGTTCTTATTCATGGTTTTGGTGCTTCTGCATTTCACTGGAGGTTTGCTACTTTGTGCCCATCACCTTCTATTTTTCCCTTCAGCTTTTATTAGAGTTTACATTTACTTGCGTATGCATTGGCTATGGCATAGTTGTTTGCAAATTCCTATAAGCTCCGTGGCGGGGAAAATCTAAACTGAGAGTGAGAGGTTTCGAAATCTGATCAAGTACGAAATTTCAAGAAACTGAAGCTGATTTCCTTTTTGTTTCTTTTGCTTTTGTGATTAAAACCCAGTTGTTGTCGACATGCCTTGGGGGTTTTGGGTTTCTTTCAACCCTTTGATTTCAAGTTTCCTATGTGAACTTTTATGTGAAGTAAACATTCATGTTTCTGGTGGCCGTAAGTTTAGTATACTCTAAAAGTGATAAGTTTTTATTTGCTCCCCGTGTTACAGGTACAACATTCCAGAGTTGGCTAAAAAATATAAGGTTTATGCTATAGACTTGCTGGGGTTCGGGTGGAGTGAGAAAGCACTTGTTGATTATGATGCCATGGTTTGGAGAGATCAAGTGGAGGATTTCTTAAAGGAGATAGTGAAAGAACCGACAGTTTTAGTTGGAAACAGGTAATCTAAACTTTAATTAGTTACTTACGGAATCTGTAATATTTCATGTATAACATTACATAACTTAAGGCTTGTAAAATGTGGAAGATCGTGTTTTCTAAACATCAAACAGTGTTTCTAAGTTTACAGGCATAAACACTGAGTTGAGGTCCTTTTAACTTTTTCAATTAAGAGGGGTAATTTGCTTTGAGTTGATCATTGCAAACGGAAAATGTGTATATCTCATGTTTTCTCTTCAGATGGCTTTTGAGATAATGACTATTTGACTCGCTGTAATTTTCAGCCTCGGAGGTTTTACTGCTTTGGTTGCAGCAGCTGGGTTGCCTGAGCAAGTAGTTGGAGTTGCACTTCTGAATTCTGCGGGACAGTTTGGAAATCCTAATAGTGTAGCCAAGGAGTCTGAGGGGGAAACAGCCCTGCAAAAGTTCATCCTAAAGCCCCTGAAGGAAGTTTTCCAGCGAGTGGTACTTGGATTTCTGTTCTGGCAAGCAAAGCAACCAGCACGTGTTGAATCCGTCTTAAAGAGCGTAAGTTACTTTCTAAAGCCTCTCCGTGAAGTCCGAGTATAAGGTCAACCTTGATATTCCAATCATTATACAATAGTCTCCCAAATTCGTAACAAAATTTTACTACAATATGTTTTAAATACTTAATTTTGCTGGCGCAGGTCTATAAAAACACTGCCAATGTGGATGACTATCTGGTGGAGTCCATAATAATGCCAGCTGCTGACCCAAACGCTGGAGAAGTGTATTACAGGTATGTGTAGATCTGTTCTATAATAAAGATCCCCTGAAAACAAATGACGTGGATTAGTGATATCTTGAAGATTTGGTCATGAAAATTGATGTCTGATTCGTTAGTAAGTATGACGTTTCTTGATTGTTTTGCGCAGATTGATGACCCGGTTCATGACAAACCAGACCAAGTACACTCTGGACAGCGTCTTAAGCAAGTTGTCTTGTCCACTGTTGTTGGTCTGGGGTGACTTGGATCCGTGGGTAGGTCCTGCCAAGGCTAACAGCATCAAAGCGTTTTATCCGAATACAACTTTGGTAAATCTGCAGGCCGGGCACTGTCCACACGATGAAGTTCCAGAGCTTGTCAATACGGCTTTATTAGATTGGTTATCAACTTCACCACTTAAAGCCTCTCTCCAAACAGTCTGAACGAATAGAAATCTGTAGCACCCACCCCTCATGTTTGATATGAGGAGTATACTTGCAATACGAATGTACAATTGTAAATTCATTTATCAAATTACTACTTAATGTTAGCTTTCCTTCGTGTTCGTTTCTGAGCTTTTGAGACGACGAGACATGAACATAATGATATTGACAAGTCACCACCTTGTTTGTCAAACTGTAAGTTGTCTGCGACGTGTAATATGATACCAGTGACATATTATCTGCTAATATGAATCCTATTTCCAAAGATCCAAACGAACTTCCATTGCAGATGACAGCCTCTGGACGCATGCCGATGCCGCGAAGTTATTCCATTCAAATTTCCCTATCCTTGTCGGTGCGCTGTAATCTTCCAGTCCGATAAAACAGAGACAAGATAAAGACAAAAACATGAGCTTAGAAATTACAGAAAACAAGGTTTATTTGTCTCTCTTTTCTTATTGCAGCTGTAAACTTAACACTCGGAGCATAACATCGACATAGTTAACATCATCAATGTCTTCTGTTCTTTGTAAGCATCGGATTTTCCTCCTCACTTCCTTCAGATACCCTTTTCTTTGTTCTTCTCATTGTCTCCTTCGTTACATTAAATTTATGTGATTCGCTTCTCGAATTTCTTCTCCTTCTAAATCAACCCTTCGATGCCTGCCTCGGTGTTCAATTGGGTTTTTTGTAAGCTCGTGGTGCTCAATTTAGCAGTCATTTAGGGGGCTTAGCTGGTGATCCGTGCTGTTTTCCCTCCGCCGATGCCGTACTGGCCAAGCCTGGCCACTTTATCTGAAAGTTAAGAAACCTTGCAAGGACTTATAAGGAGTTGAGTCACTTTCTAACCGTTGCATCAACTTGGTTAGTTAAAAATGGAGAATAATTGGTCAAGGCCCAGTAGGAATTCTCTGACGCCGGTGAAGCAAAGGAGGAGTGGATATGAGCCATCTTATGCCGAGACAGACATCCCAGATAGCCCCTGGCACGGCGGAAACAAATGGCCAAGTGGAGAATGGGAGTCTGAAGGGGCAAAACCAGAGTTGTATTTGGGAAGAACGATCAGCCCTTTGAAGCAGAGCAGGAGATCTTCAAGGTTTGAATACGAAGGCCCTACTCCAAGAACTACCTCCGTGGTAAGTCCGGTTCGAAGAAGAACCAGCAGCAAGTCGCCCTACAAGCCCAGAAGAGATGACAGCAATGCTCGAACTTTGCCAATGGCGGGTTCTGATATTCATAGGAACATCAGCCCCTTGGGAAAGTCCGAGCGCAGGAGACACGTTTCACCTTTTCAAACAGACCGAGAAGAGCGCAATATGAACGACGATGGTGATGAGATTGTAGGCTCAAACAGAAACCTGTTACATCAGCGAAGGAACAGCAGAAGATCAGCAGCTGCTCCGCAGCATAGATCACCGAGAGAAACCAACCAGCAGAGGAATTGTTCGATCACGCCTACGAAAGGGGAGAGGACTCCATCCCCGTTATCCAAAAGCATGGCTCATCAGAAGCAAAGGCAAGTGAGCACGCCATCTGTCGGCGAAATTAACGAAATGCTTGCCCATGCAAAGCTTGCTAGAACTTCTCCAAACTCCATGTTGAATAACAAAGCTGCTCCGGTTTACGAAAGCTCGGATTCTATTGCAGCAGGTGATATCTTCTTCTCTAGAGAGTGCGATGTCATGGCATTGCCTCGAAATCACTTACAAAAACCGAAAGTGGTTTCCTCTGCTGCCTCTCAACAGAGAAGTACTACCCGATCAAACGGTAACTTCGATCAGAATGTGAATATCCGCGGACTTTTGTCCCCGTATGGTCTGTCACAGACAACCACCACCACTTCCAGCTCTGCGGTGAGCAGGCAGAGCAGCGGGAAGCTGAGCATGGCTAGCAGCAAGACGAGTGATGCAAGCAGGACGACAACAGCCAGCATGAGGAAGTTCACGGACAATAGGAGGAAGAGCGAAGGTCAGGCGTGGTTTTCGTGTATGAAAAAGAGTTCTTGCAAGAACAAAAAATTATCACCTGAGCAGAGCGCATTCAATGAAGCTGCATTCATCGAGAAAGCGTTCGTGGTGGAAAGTCTCAGGCAGTTATGGGCGGATAAGCATCGGCCTAGTTCGTTGAACGGATTCGCTTGCCACAAACAAGAAGCTCAAGTTCTCAAGCAACTTGTGAGTAATTTTCTGATTAAATATGCGCAGACAGAATTGATAGCAAAGTTCCAGTCGAAAATAGAACTGGAAGACACTAAACAGACAATAAAGCCGTTTATTGTATCAGTGTCCCTCCGGTTTTGTTTTTAGTTTTATAACCAGTTCCATTTGTGCGTATTTCACCCATTTTCATCGTTTGTTCTGTGTATTTTTCTAGCTGCATACGCAAATACGTAACATCTGCAGGCCTTGTGCATGTTTGTTTTCGGTTTTCTTCATGCTTTCTTGCTCATGCTCTTGAATATGTAGGCGATTGATAACGTCAGTCCCCATATTTTGTTTACTGGACCAACTGGTTCTGGGAAGAAAGCTCTAACAATGGCGTATCTACGGGAAATATACGGCGACGCGAGCTGGGAAGTATGTTTCTTTACATCAAATACAACGAAGTTCAAATCTTTTTCCTTGAAGATGGATTAAAATTATCAGTTTTGGTTTTTTACTTTTGTTTTCCTCTGCAGATATCTCATGATTTAAGATACTTCTGGGTTCAGGTATTCTGTTGTGAAATAGACAGTTGAGATATAGAAATAATGCCTTACATTTTGTGAAATGCTCATAATGTTCTTAAAATTAAAAGTCGTTCTTCCTTACCTAGAAATCACATGCTAACACACATGCATAAATAACTTATCGAAAGCACAAAAGAAGAAATTTATGTGCACGTGTCAAACTGTGATTTATCTATACGGGTGAACGACCGTTTTAAAATTTCTCTTACATGACCCAATGGTGACAGGAACAAAGGCCAATGCAAGTAGTGGTTCCATTGACATCCAGTCTTCACCATGTAGAACTCAATGTACAACTGGAACCAAATGCCAGATATGCCCTAATGGGTTTAGTCAAGGAAATAAACAACGAAATTGCTCATGAAGTCAGCTCTATAAATTCCAAGGCAAATCATAGAGGTCAAAATTCTCTCAACAAACCCACAAATCCCTTCCAAACACTTTTGACCTATTTCTCTCAAAACTCTAACATGTTTTTCCTTTTCGTTCCAGTGATGGTTTTGTACGGTGTTGACAAAGCATCAGCGCACATTCAGCATTTGATCAAATGGATCATGGACTGTCACTCGGAATCGTGGAAGCTCATACTCTGTTGCGAAAATGACACCGGCATCATTGAATCGGTGAAAAACCGGTGCATGGTCATCAAGGTTGATGCTCCTGCGACTCATGAAGTAAGTATTACATGGACCGTAGAGTTCCCGAGATGTTATTTTAATTATACCTTAAGCTAATATAAACTGCGGAGAGCGAGATTCAAACTCGGGTGCATAGAGAAAAACACAACGTTTTCAGCCAACATGGGTACGCCCACGCCCACGTCCGCTTACCTTTTATTTCCCTTTGCCAGATTATGGAAGTTCTTATTCAGATAGCCAGCAAGGAGGACTTTGACCTACCTATGAGCTTTGCTAGTAAGATTGCAAATAAATCAAAGCAGAATCTGAGAGAAGCAATCATGGGTCTTGAAGTATGCAAAGCACACAAGTGAGAACATATGGCAATAAAATTGTTGGGAATTTTGAGTTTATTGTAAGGTCAACTTACATGGAGCTTTGCCTATGCAGCTATCCTTTTGAAGATGAACAACCAATTCCGCTTGGATGGGAAGAGGTGCTGCTTGAACTCGCTTCAGAAATCCTAGCCGATCCTTCACCGAAGAGGTAATCATTTTATCGGCATCCGTTGAATGATGTGAATCTCAAAGTCATTCACCAATGTGAAACCCACGAGAGATGTCACACCTAACTCAGTTACACCGTTCATCTAACAGCATCATTGATTTTCCGCATTAATCTTTTGCCAGATTATTTTTCATCCGGGGAAAGTTTCAAAAGCTTCTCATAGATTTTGTCCATCCGAAGCTGATTCTACTGGTACTGCATCGATACCTCGAATTTGTTCATATCTAGTTAGTCACCAAAGTATAATTTTGTGATGGAGTTTGCATTTTCCAAAATGCAGAAGCTCGTGGAACTGTTCCTAAAGGGAGTAGCATCTAGTTCTAGGAGGGAACTCTATTACTGGCATGCTTACTATGTAAGTTCTCTCCCTAATTTCTTCTTTCGGCTCTCAGAGATGGATGATGAACTGACTAAAATCTTGTCCTCGCAGGAGAAAAGACTCCCCGAAGGGGCGAGTGCGTTACTGAAACTAGAAGGTAACATATGCAAACCACTAAAATTCTTCATCCAATTATATAAGGATTCAATAATTTGGCACAAATCCACTTCTGTAGTAAGCTTACAGGTTAATCATGCACCTTTTATGCAGAATTTGTGGCCAAGTTCATGAGCATACACCGGAAGAGTTCCAACCACCAGGAGTACGTGTAGTTTATATGCCCTCATTGAGAGTTGATCGTTACTTTCTGTCTATGTATAGGTTTTTTTCAAAATTGTGTTACTGCAGTCTAATACTCGGAAAAAGAGAACGAGACAGAGATAAACAGCCCTGAAGTTTTTTTCCTAGGTTCAAGATGATCATGAAGATTTAGATATAGTACAAAGGCATGCATTATCTTTGTTTAGACAAAAAGAAATAAAACAAGCTTACACATTCTCAGCTCGGTCTTTATGTATATCTTTTAAAATGAACAACGAAAGGCATGTGAACAATATTTTAGTATGAAAAGAACGTAAACACACCCATCTGAACATGGAACATCTTCTCATGCTTTACTTGGAACAAATACACTGAACAATATACCATAGACTGCTGTTAGCTGTGTCTTCAACAATGTATATTTTAATCTGCTAGGCAATGTTTAAAGAAAAACGAGTGCAACTTGAACTCTGATTAACTATTAGGGCATCCACTTCTAAACTAGAGAGTATAGCACATGTTCAAATATACTGAACGAGCATTACCTTCAAAACATACTTAAGAGCCCAAATTTATCGTCTTGCTTCCACTCAAGGTTCTACAAAGCAGCAGCATTTGATTTTTGTAGAGAAGCCACTCCCATTCAGACTACTTTTTTCCAGTGTATCGCTGCAAATACAAATGGGGACAGTATAATAATTAGTTTCCATTCATGGTAGGGACCTATATATGAAGGCCAACAACAAAGAGGGGGAACGAAGCATCAGAATATGTTTACTCACCCTCTTTCCGATATCAAATGGAACATATTTGTATTTGATCATGTGTAGGATCTGTCGTTTCATTGTGAGGACAAACAGAACAATCCAGTAGCATAGCAGTATTGGCCAGAAAACAGGTACATCCAGCAGAGAAATAAAGGTCATGATGAATGCAACAACAAATGCCTTTGTGATGGAATACCTGAAAAACAATGAACACATTCATTTTCCATGGTAATAAAAATAGCAATACAACATCAGAAACATTAAAACTCCCCGAGATTTTTAAGCAAGTGTGATATTAAGAATTAGAGACAATTCAACTTCCTTGCTGCTTTTCATTTTGTGAGTTGAACCAGTTTAGTCATGAAACTAGGTATTGAACCAGTCCAGTGGTATAATTCCAATACACAGGAATCAGATGGCAGCACGAAATCTGAAATTCACTTATTGGTTTATGCTAACTGATACTCCATGGCATAAACACCCTGTTGACTCAGTCACTCAAGGCTTTTAATAACTCCTATAACCAGATGCCTATAAGCCGTACCAATACTCAACAGCAAAACCATCCTTCAGTAGTTAAGAATTACTCCCATCATTATTCAAAAACAGTTTTCTACCATTACAGTAAAACCCATGAAAACCCTTCTGTAAAGAGGGAAATATATGGTTTTCATACATTTCTACGTAAGTTGAACTAGGGAAAATAGCATGCAAATATGGCATAATAAGAAGACACTTGAAGCATTTATTTCTACTACAAGACACATCACACATTCTTTAACATACACAACATATGGAAAGGGGGTTTTCCATCAAAATGAGCCCCGAACATAAGAAATCACACCGAACCATGCAATACTATTGTTTTAACACCATCACTGCACATATGAAGCAAAAGGATGAAAGAAATTTACCAAAACTTAAACTCGGGAAGGCGGCGAACAAAAGGCTTAAACTCATCAGAACCACTTGTTGGCAATGAAGGCCCATCCACGGACTCAAGCTCCGGGTCAACCTTTGGCGAGAAGAAACCAATCAAGAGATTCAAGACGTAGATCCCCAGGCCATAGGAGACAACATAGAACCCCTGAACATAGTACACACGCAGAATGTAAATCACAGCCAAAACTAGGGTTCCAAGCCATCTATTCACAGTGTGAGGCGTTGACCGATCCAAATAGTATTGGAATGCTCTCGCAAAATCGCTCCGCCATTGGGCCAGTGGCGCCGCCGCTGCTCCGCCCTCACTTCCAATTCCCTCCATCAAATCCGGATTCTACCAAAAAAAATGCAACAAAAATGATTGCTTTGTCATTTTTAGAAACTGACCTAATAAACTAATCAAGCTACTTAGTTTGTTTGCTCAACATAGAATATCAGAATTGAGCAAAACTGTATGAATAGACATTTTCTATCCCCATTTTCTCGGTAAACAAACAAGAGGCTACAGATTGTTCTTGTGCATAAATGAGTGAACGAGTTGAATAAATTAACTGCGGATTAAGCTAAATCAAGCAAAAAAGAACGTAGGATCGGCAAGAGAGAAAATTACCTGGCGAGGGAGTTAGGTTTCGTGAAGCGGATGGACTAACGACTCTTGCCGCTCCACGATCGGCTCTCGTGGTCTCTTTTGTTCATAAAGCTCTTCGAGAGCAGGCCTAATAACGGGCCGGGTCAAACAGGCAATTTATCCCAATGAGACCCAGGCTCACGTAATTGGCTTTCAAAATATCGAATTCTTTTGTTTTTTTTCCTTCCTTTCCAACTGTATTTTGGAAAGCGAATTTGACCACGAGAATTGGAATAAAGTATCAAACATTTTTAAAAACTTGAGCTACAGTACAAAAATATGGAATTTATCGATACTCAACATTTAACGTCGTAGTACTGTCATTCTTTTTTTTTTCATAGCTGTTTATCGTACATCATACGATTCGTTTTCGTCAAATACTATTTATGTTTAATTTTAAATAAAAAAATCAAATAATTTCTATCTGCACGATACACGATGAATGGTTAAAATTTATAATCCCCACAATTTGAGTCTAAATGGGATCCAAATCCGTGTGGTGGGTCAATAATCAAGTGCAGCCCTACTTCCTTGAGTATAACAAAAATGATAACTCATTAATGACTAAAGCAATGTCCATAACATTTGACATTAGCATACTTAATCTAGTCTAATCTTTTTAAATAAAGATAATCATTTGCCACTTAGTGATATGGTCTAGTAGTATTCATCTTCACTTGTAAGTAAGAGGTCTTAGGTTCGATTCTCTCCAAATGCGGATTTGAATCACACTATTGCTACCCTATTGTGAGGCTAAGCCCACCCCTCTCCCTTTTAGTGTAGATAATATCGTTCGTTCAAAAAAATAAAAAAATAGAAAAGACAATCACTCTTAGTCACAAATATGCAGTCGGCACTTGCACTATTCTTTTTGTGGCATCAAAACGTGTTATTTTCTCATGAAATTTTTGGCATTTCACGTATATATCTCTCTACAACATGTGTTGTAATTCGCCCATGGAAACCAACTCCATGTGAACTTTCTATGGTCATGCCAAAAATGGAAGCACGATATGAGAAAAGCGATCATGGGTTTTGGCTCTTGAAGCATGCAAGGCACACAAGTGAACATACTGCAAAAACGAAGATTTTTTAAGGTGTTTCAGTATCGATACTCCGAACTTTTTAATTGTTAGTTCTTTACTTCAAACACAAAAATACATGGAGCTTGACCTATATAAGCAGCTCTGCTTTGTGGAGAAAGAACACCCGATTCCAATTGGATTGGAAGAGGTGCTGTTTGAACTTGCTTCAGAAATCCTAGCTGATCCATCACCTAAGAAAGATGTAATCATTTCATTGACATGCGTTGGTTGATCTGAATCTCATAGTCGTTGACAAATGCGAAATCCACGACGGATTCCACATCTAACTCAGTTACACCGTTCATCTAACAGCATCCCGCAATATCTGAATTGATTTTCCGTATTAATCTTTTGTCAGGTTATTTTTCATCCGGGGAAAGTTTCAAAAGTTTCAAAATTTGTGTTCATATCTACTTAATCGCCAAAGTATATTTGTCTAACAGAGTTTGCATTTTCCGAAATGCAGAAGCTCATGGAACAGTTCCTAAAAGGGAGTAGATGCTAGTTCTAAGAGGGAACTCTATTACTGGCATGCTTATTTAATAAGCTCTCTACCTGGTACCTTCTTTCTGCTCTTGGAGAAAACGAACCGACTCAAATGTTGTCCTTGCAGGACAAAAGGCTCCCGGCAGGAACGAGTGCGTTACCGAAACTAGAAGGTAACATATGCAAGCCATCAAAATCCTTCATCCACTCTTGTACTAGTTTACTGGTTATATTATGCAGAATTTGTGGCCAAGTTCATGAGCATACACCAGAAAGAGTTCCAACAACCGCCTGTATGTGTAGTTTATGTGCCCCTGTTGAGATTTGATCGTTACTTTCCGCCTATGTATGGGTTTTTATCAAGATTGTGTTACTGCAGTCTACTATTGGGAAAATCAGAACGAACCAAAGACAAATGACCCTGAACCTTTAGATATAAAATGACATGCTCTCTTGTTTACGCTAAAAGAAACCAGCGTACTCATTCTCAGTTTAGTCATATGAGTGTGTCTTTTAACATGAACAACGAAAAGCAAGTGAACATTATTTATGCATGCGAGAATGAAAACACACCCACCTGAACATGAAACATCTTATCATGCCTTGCTTGCATCAAACACAATGGGTCAATCAATGCCCCCAACACGCACACAAAAACACTACAACATAGACAGCTGTTAGCCGTGGCACCAGGTCTAATGCTGTTTCAACAATGTCTAATTTAATCTGATAGGCAATGTTTGACGGAAAGCAGTGCACCTCCAACCCTGATAAGGCCTATGGAAGATTAACTATCAGGGCATCCTGACAAGACCTGTCATCCACTTCTTCTAAACTAGAGAGTCTAGCACATGTACAAATATATTGAATGAACATTACCTTCAAAACATACTGAAGAACCCAAATTTATCATTTTGCTTTAGCACAAGGTTCTACAAATCAGCACCATTTTAGTTTTTGGATTTGTAGATAAACCGCTCCCATTCAGACTCTACTTCTTTCCAGAGTACCGCTGTCAAAAACAAATGGAGACAGTATAATAATTAGTTTACATTCATGGTAAGGAATGAATGACCTACAATGAGGGCCAACCACAAAGATGAGGAGAAAGCATGAGAATATGTTGACTCACCCTCTTTCCGATATCAAACGGGACATATTTGTATTTGATCATGTGTAGGATTTGTCGTTTCATTGTGAGGACAAACAGAACAATCCAGTAGCATAGCAGTATTGGCCAGAAAACGGGTACATCCAGCAGAGAAATAAAGGTCATGATGAATGCAATAACAAATGCCTTTGTGATGGAATACCTGAAAAACATCAAACAATTTCGTTTCTAAGGGAAAATAAAGGATCCAAAATCAATACAACATCAGTGCATTAAACTCTCCCAAGATTTTTTTAAACAATTGTATGTAAAGAATAAGAGACAATTCAGCTTCGTAATTCCTAAATGCTTTTCATTTTGTGAGGTGAACCATTTTAGTCATGAAGCCGAGAAATCTAGCATACCAGACAATAGACACCCATATGCAAGAACTTCTCACATAAGTCAAGGTATTGGACCCTAACTACCGGGCACATGAATCAGGTGGCAACACGAAATTTAAAATTCATTTCTTGATTATAACTCCTACAACCTGATGGCTGCAAACCAATAAGCAATATCGACTAGGACACCATTTCAACTGTAGAACCATCCTTCAGTAGTTAAGAACTACTTCCATCATTATTCAAAGTCAAAACGGATTTCTATGGATAGAGTGAAAAGCATTAAAACCCTTCTCTAAAGAGGGAATATTTACATACATTTCTAAGTAAGTTGAACTAAATACACAGGGAAAATAGCAGACTGATTGTTTGTTAATCAAGAAGTTCCCACCGTCCCTGGCATTATTGGAAGACACTTGAAGCATTTACACATCCCTTAGCATACAGAACATATGGAAAGGGGTTTTTCATCAAAATAGGGAAAGATGTTGCCCCTACCTGAAAATAAGAAATCATAGTCTCTAGAACAGACACTTGAAGCATTTACCACTACAAGCTACATGCACGCATCCCTTAACATTCACAACATATGGAAAGGGGGGTTTCCATCAAAATGAGCCCCGAACATAAGAGATCACACCGAACCACGCAATACTAGTTTTAATACCATCACTGCACATATGAAACAAAGCTGCAAAAGGATGAAAGTAATTTACCAGAACTTAAACTCAGGAAGGCGGCGGACAAAAGGCTTAAACTCATCAGAACCACTTGTTGGCAATGAAGCGCCATCCAAGGACTCAAGCTCCGGATCAACCTTCGGGGAGAAGAAACCGATCAAGAGATTCAAGATGTAGATCCCCAGACCATAGGAGACAACATAGAACCCCTGAACATAGTACACACGCAGAATGTAAATCATTGCCACAACTAGGGTTCCTAGCCACCTATTCACAGTGTGAGGCGTTGACCGATCCAAATAGTACTGGAATGCTCTCGCAAAATCGCTCCGCCATTGGGCCAGTGGCGCCGCCGCTGCTCCGCCCTCGCTTCCAAGTCCCTCCATCAAGTTTCGATTCTACCCAAAAGATAAATAGCAGCAAAAATTACAGTCTTTTCGTTTTTGGAAGCTGACCTAATAATAAATCTACTTGATTTGTTTGCTCAAGATAGCATAAATGATAAAAAAAAAATTATTGTACGAATCGAATTTCTCTCTCATTTTCTCGGGAAACAAACAGGGGATACAGATTTGTTCTTGTGCATAAATCGGTGAACGAATTAAATTAAGTGCTGCGGTTTAACCTAAATCAAGCACAAATGAATGTAGGATCAGCGAGAGATAAGATTACCTGGTGATTGAGTTAGGGTTTCGAGAAGTGGACGAAACTTGGAAGACGATGAATTTACGACTGTTGAGTAGGCTTATAACATTAACAGGCCGGGTCAATGAGGCCCAGGCTCACGTATAGGGCTTTCAAAATATCGAATTTGAACACGAGATTTCGAGCAAATGAGTCAACGCGCTTAAAAACTTAAGCTACAAGATCTTTACAAAACCGTTGAATTCATAAGCACTCAACATTTAACATCATAGTACTTAATTGTCATTCTTTTTATTTCACGATAATTAAAGACAAGAATTGAACTTTGATCCTAAATATTGCTCCACCACGAGAACTAATCGTCTTTTTTTTTAACAAATGATATTATCTACATTAAAGGAAAAGGTTATCTTAGCTTCATAATGGGCTAGCAATAATGTGGTTAACCTAAACTAATCGCTCTTATATGCACTAAATTAAGTACAATCAATGGCAAACTCATAGATTAACGTAGAGAAGTGCATTATTATCTTATACATTATATTGTGGGTGACTAATTGACTTGTGTCTCTTTAGGTTGATAGGCTATGTTTTATTAGGTCATCTCTAACTAAAAGGGCTATGTCTAGCTCCCGTCTAAATTATAGCCCGACAAGAAATTATTTTTTAATAAACACCATCATGCCACTTCATATAACATCTCCAAACGAAGGAAACTGTTTTTTAGCCCATCAATAATTTATTATTTTTTGTTCTTTAACTTTATTGATTAATTGAATTAAATTACCATATTTATAAATGAGTAACTCTCCATATTTCTTATCTTTATATAATCTTAATATTTTTTTCGGAATGCTATGTTTGTTTTGCTTCCGAAAAAAAAATTCGGTTAGGAGTTTAAAGAATGTGAAGAATTAAAATAAAATAAGGTAAGATAGTACGAAATGATGAAAATGATGTGAGAAATAGTGTAAAATTGACTTAGATATTTATAGGGAAAAAAAATTAGATTTTTAAAAATTTTATTTTAAATTTCATCTTTAAAAAAAAAATATAATCCAACGACTAGCAAACGTCAGCTAGCATGTGGGTTGCTGATAGTTGGGACAAGCTTTTCAGGTTGGCTGGATGGCTTCAATTGCCCAGCCCGATGGCCATAGGATGGAGTTTGGCCCAATGGGTTACTTTTTTCTTTGGCATGGACCTTCATTTGAGATGATTTTTTTCCTCATTTCGAGCTATAAAATAGCCTATAGCCATATGGCATGATCAATTGGAGATGGCCTTAGTGTGGGATAACTTACGTTATGATGGTTTTGAGCCAACTAATGGTTGACATGGGAAATGTAATGTTTATGTTGGAATGACGATGTTGCCCAATTTCCACCACTTTGTCTTATGTACTTTGCCCTAATCTTCTTTCGATATTTGTTGCAATTTGCCTTTATAAGAGCTAGATTGAAGCATAAACATCTGTAAAACTCATCATTGTTAGCAAAAGATATAAACTCACTCTTCGTAGATCGGCCAGTGTAGTTGGCTTTACTTGACTAACACACCTCAACCCAGAATGTCCACCTGGACACCTAAATCGCAATGTGTTAGTCGACACCTAGAAGGTGACGAAGTCATAAAGTGTAGTGATGTGGAAAATGTGAATAAATTAAAACCTAAAAGTGACTAATTTAAAGTGTGTATGTGAGCGGTATTGAACTCATATCACACAAGTGATGTCAGAGCATAGATAAATTGCAGTAAAAGAAAAGTAAGGACATTTATACCGAAATGAGAAGTCTCATATGTAACAACTTTTACCAACAATCCTCGTCGTCACGAAACATCTACCACTAAAATCCTAGAAGGGCGAAAAACAAGGGTGAGTGAGCCTGAAAAATAAAGTTTTGTAAAACCTTTTCGAAATTGTAACCCCTCACTGTAAAACAAGTATATGGTTTCCTAAAAATATTATAATAATAGTATATAATAGGTACCTTGCATCACAAATGAGCTAAAAGGTTGTAGGCATAACAACAAGGTATCTCAACATCAATTCTCAAATCATTATTTCAAAAAATCAATGCTCATTAATTTATGTAGGCACATAAGTCCATTGCAGAGATATTCAAACAATGGAACATGCTAGGTGTAAATTTTACATTCTAGTACTACATCACGTGAGTTGCGCTAATTGCATCACATACGAGTTCAAAACATCACACAAAAGGACAGGCTGGCACCTAACTCTAGATCCAAAGCGAATGTAAACGATGGAACTACATGTGAAGCTAGTCTTTGGCCCAAGACAGTACAAATAGCTAAGAGACACTGTGCAAACATGTAGTAATGAGCAGATAAAATGCAAGGATGTCATGCCACAGTTTATGCTCACAAATAGTATTAAAAACATAAAGTGCACGAAAAGTCTATTTGTAAAGCTAAACATGGCATGTCATATCATAATATATAAAAGCAGTCGTCGGAAAAAATCACATACACATATATACATAAAAATAAAAAGATCCACTCACACGTACTTGCGATTTCACATCCTTTCAAGCTAAGAAAGTCAGAGTCTCTGATACTAATCGCACATAAACATAATATTGGGACCCATTGGTAAAACTCAACTTAGACGACCAAATTTGAGAAAACGGAGTGCAGATTTATAATCAGAGCGTCGAAATAAGTAAAGAGGGGTCATGGGCAAATTTTGTAAAAAGTCAACGATCAACCCTAAAAGTCAACCAAGACACATCGATGGTCAACTATGTTAAAATTTCAAATTTTCCTAAATGGATGTCAAAAATGGACTCGGAGTGTCAAAATTAGCCTAGGAGGGCTTCCAAGAAAATTTTGAAAAAGTCAACACAAGAAATATTCCAAGGATATTCCAGAATATTCTGAGTCCATTTCGGAAATGGGCGGAGCTGGAACAATGGCCCAAAGGTTTGGGCTTAGGCCCTTTTTTCTTTTTTCTTTCTGTACAGGGTCGAATCCCGATTAGGGTTAACGAGTCATTGGCTTGGGCCAATTCTTGGATTTGGGTTGGGCTTCATTTTTTTATCAAGTCGGGTCGGACCCAATTGGGCTCGCGAGTCACACCCGCCGAACCCAAATGAAGAAGAAAGCTGGATATGAGAATTATGGCCGGAAAACTTCTCCGGCTCCGTTTTGGGATCAAAACTCAACCAAAACTTACCATCTAATTACCATAATGAAGCTTGGAGAGTAAGCATTCAAGCCATAACAATATTGGGTCAAGTAGTGGCTGGAAATGGTCGAGAAATGGTCGAGAAATGGCCTGCAGCCCATAGGTCCTTTGCCGGAAACTAGAGAAAATTCCATAGAGTTGCAGAGCATGAATTTAGTCCCAAACTCCATGAATTCAACTTCCAAATCTTAGAAAATACAATCTGAGAAACTCAAAGACTTACCTAAAATATATTTAGGTAAATTAGGGGTCGAATCCACCTCGGATTCAATGGATTCCCTTCGAAAGCCTTCACCGGGTTCTGGAAATAGGAAGCACAGTACATGCATGTCAAATCTCAGTAACTTCTAACTAAAATTTACATGCAAGAGAATATATAAATACCTGGAATTGATTCGAGTTGATCACGAGCTCCAGAAATCACAAACTCACCAGAGTTTGCTCGAAAAAAGATGCCTCATAACACACAAATTAAAGGGGGTGTATTCAATTGAGAATGTGAGAGATTTTAATGGATTTATAAATCCATGGATTTTTATGGAGTTTAATTGATTTGTAGAGATTCCATATAAAATTTTGATTCAATTCCCTCGAAATCTCATGGGATGAGGTGAGATTTGTGGATACTTAAAATACACTACGAAATCTCTCAAATTCCCTCTAATTCCTCAACTTTCTCAAATTCTTTAAAATCAATTTCTAATTGAATACACTTAGAATGTTATAAACTTCTTTAAAATCTTAATTGAATACACCTGGATTTCTAAGGATTTTAATAAACTATTTTAAAATTCTAATTGAATACACCTAGAATTTCAGAGAATCACTTAAAATCCTGATTGAATACCCCTAGATTCATTAAAAGAATTAAAATCCCTTAAAATCCCAATTGAATACACCCCCATTAAAGCTCAAATCCAACAGAAAATTCAATTCAAACACAGGGACGCCACGGTTGGATGGAAAGGCACATCTCCCAGTTCCATGCGACCTTCCATCGCCACGACCTCAAGCAGCAACAAAAGCATTCACAAATGCAGTCTCAGCCAAGGAAGAATGTTGGTCCGCCATTCTTCATTCAATTGTCAATATAAGTGCCTCAAGAGTGGGATAAGTAATGGGAGAATCCCGAGCTTAAGTAGCACTCACCGTCATTTCAAATGCAGGTCTTAGATTGTTCAACACAATCTGTACGAGTTCATCATCATTCACAGGTTGCCTAGCTAGGGCAAGGTTATCAGCTATCACATTCATGTGATCCAGGTAATCCGCAACAGAGAGATCACGTTTCTTTGTCTGCAGCAACTCATTTCGCAGGAACAAAATTCGGTTTTGTGATGTGGAGGCATACCTCTGCTCCAAAACTTCTCAAGTGGCACATGCAGTCCTCTTGCTTGCCACAGTAAACAGTACATAAACAATCAAGGAGCCATTTAAGGATCATTTGATCCTGTTGGACCCATGCAGCATATTCTGGATTGACAATGGTAACACCCGGCATGTGTTTGGGATGACACAATGAGGTACCATCCACATACCCCAACAGATCTCTACTTTTGAGAATTGGGAGAATTTGAGCCAACCACAGTGGGTAGTTGGTTCTATGAAGCTTAATGTTGACAACAGTGGAGAAATGATGGAAATGATTGGTGGTATGAGGTGTGGTAGAATTGGAGGAGTTGCCATTGCTTTCAGCCATTGAAGCGTGGGAAAAAAAAAAAACTGGATCGAGTCGTTAGACAGTATGGCTCAATACCATGTAAAACTTCAGAACTCAAACTTTCACTTCAATTGCATACCCAATTAATGATGGGATGCATATATTTATATTAACTTGAGGATTACAGAAAGGGTTTGAAAACCCGAGAAACATAGAGCTTTCAAATATACAATTAGATAGCAAAATACTGCATGCGCAGCTTGACTTACAACAAACATTTGAAAACAAAATCCTATAAACTAGGAACAGCTAAAGGATAAGAGTTTGAACTGATGAAATCCTCAAGTCGCGGGAATAACAATGTGAGCTTGACTTCATCTAACAATAGGAACCCAGAACTCGAAGAGAAGGAAAATAATCTCACCTGAGATTGAAGATGAGAGCTTGAAGCTATTGGGTCTAATGGCAGGTCACTGCCCAGTGCTCCGATGGCACATGCAATGGTATGACTAGTTTCCTCTCGTCCTAGAGGTTAAGGTTTCATGGTTTTGGAGTTCAATTTGTGAAGGGATTAGGGCGATAGTGTTGGTTCTCTCTCTCTCTCTCTGTTAGATGGAGTGTGAGCTCGAGAGTGCAGAAAGAGAATGGAGAGATAGAGAGTGATTTCAACGGAGGGAAAGAGAGAGAGAAAGAGAAAATATATTTTAAAAAAAAGGAAAAGAATGATGTCTGATGGATGGGTGTTGACAAGAGTAGGTTTTAAAACCCTAAAATAATTATTTGTTTAACACAAGGCCGGCTCAAGCAGTGATGCACATTTGCACGAGGTCAGTTTTTCGGAATTTGAATTTATCTCAGGTAAGTTTACATTGTTTCAAATATAATTTTTCGTTATAATTCCGAATCGAGTTCCATATGCGCTCACGTGTTTGTAAAAATGAGTACTATTTAACAATGGTCAAATAAGATTGAAAAGGTGAAAGGATAATTGAAGTCCAAAGGCCTACGTGGCATCTCATAGACATTTTAGGAATTTCATTGTTGTTGTGAGTAAAATACAATAAATTTCGGAATGAAACGTCACATTACTTTACAACAATGATTCTTAGTCACAATTATGGAAATGGAAATATAGTGGATCAAGTTAGGCACTTGCACTATTCTTTTGTGGAAATAGAGTGTGTGTGTGTGTGAGTATTGCACTTCATTGTGTTGTGTGTGCGCATATGTGTGTGAGCTGAGAGAAGCTCAGATTCCGTTGTGTGTGTGCGAGACTCGTATTCAAGAGCTCCATGTATAATTTGACCTAAACTTTACATGTTTGGTTAATAATGCCTGATGTTTTCGTCTATGTAGGACCTGGTGCACCAGCAGTTTTCAACTGTGTGAGTCATTGTTTCTAACTTTCTTTTAGTCTTTTTATTGTTCTGATCTTTTAGCAAAAGGACCCTTTAACAAATCCAACATGTAAGTTATGGATGTGTTGCATATGGTCGCCGTGGATGAGTTTAAAACCCTTTAGAATAAGATTGTGGAATGCTTCTATCAGTGGACGATGATGACTTAAATAATCTTCCCCACTTTTTGAAATAAATGACAAAAAATATATATATTTAGCTGAAGATTCTGTTACACCAGTTACATAAGAATCCAAGTGATAATTTCTGTGGCAGGTTGTTGAAATTGGCAAAGGCAGCAAGGTTAAGTATGAGCTCGACAAGAAAAGTAGCCTTATAGTAGTAAGACTATTCTTCTTCTTTCCAAATGATAAGCTGTTGCCTCTCTAGTTAACCATGCTTATTCATTACGGTTAGAGAAATTTAAACATGGGCCCTGTATATTTACCGTTGTTTGGTAGACATTGTTATCATAGTGTTTGCTAGGGTATTGGCATCTAGTGTGAAATTGATGCCTTTCATGGAGGACACTAATGCATGAGGCTCTTTAACGCAGGTGGACAGAGTGCTTTATTCATCGGTTGTTTACCCACACAACTATGGTTTCATCCCACGAACAATATGTGAGGATAGCGATCCTATGGATGTCCTAGTACTGATGCAGGTAATGTCATTTGGACACATAATTCCCTCCTCAATGGCAAAACAGCTAATCTTGTATATTCGACTGAACTTATTAAATAGTCTTGGATTTTTCTCCCATATAGGAGCCCGTGATACCTGGTTATTTCCTTCGTGCTCGTGCTATTGGATTAATGCCCATGATTGATCAAGTAAGAAAGCCTGTTTCGATCTCATGCTTGACTAGATCAATGCGTTTAAAGAATTTAATGTAACAAGCAAAGGAAGTTTTGTTTATTTTACTGCTGTTTTCATTTGGCTATCAGAATTTCAATATTTATTCTTTGTATCGTTTCCTCTCATAGCGATCTGATTTCATACATCCAGAAGTGGGTGTAGCTATCGAAAACATGAGTTCTATTGCAGGGTGAAAAGGATGACAAGATCATTGCAGTATGTGCGGATGACCCTGGGTTCCGCCATTACACTGACATCAAGGAGATTCCTCCACATCGCCTTGCAGAAATTCGTCGGTTCTTTGAGGACTGTATCCTATTACTACATCGCGTGCATTCCATTAAATTGAAGCGGTTGAGAGTCGTGTGACTCCACAGTTATGAATTACCTCAAGTAGATAATTAATCTATTAAAAAACTTTGTTCGTCTCTTTGCAATATGAACTGGTTTTTGCCGCATGCCCTTAACTCTTACGCCATGATAGACAAAAAGAATGAGAACAAGGAAGTTGCTGTTGAAGACTTTCTACCTGCTGAGGCTGCCATTGAGGGAGGCCATCAGATACTCCATGTGAGATAAACTTTACTTCCATTCTTTTCACGGTCGCCTATGATTATTGCAAATAGAACGTAAATATTTCATTGTTATTGTTTTCTTAAAATAACGTCTTGTGTGCAGGAACCTGTATGAGTCTTACATATGGAGGGAAAAAATTCTCAAAATTCCCAAACCAAACCAAAAAAATACCGATGCCAAACCAAAAATGTCCCAAATCGATTTTCCCAAAATTTCGGTATTCCCATACCGAACTGAAAATGTATATTTTTAATTATTATATATATATATATATATTATTATTTTAATTATAATTAGAATTAATTTGAACCGTTGGATTGTTTCAAAATCTATGCCGTCCATCTATTCCTTGTTAGGCTTTCAGGTTTCAGCTTTGTTTCTCCCTATCGGGGACTGAACTGACTCCACTCCAGTTTCTAACTTTCATTTCATTTCTCAGTCTCTCTCTCTCAGCTCAGTCTCACTCAAATCCAACTTCGGCCAACCATTCACCGGCCCACCACCACACGCGGATCATCCAGTGTTGTCTCTCCCTTCCTTCACGATACAGAGTCACATCCATCATTGTTCTGAGGTCTCTCTCTCACGATTCTCTCTATCGTGACTCTCTCTTGCGATCCTCTCTCTCAAGAGTCTCTGACTCTCTCACGCGATTCTATCTCTCAGATTCAGACACAGGTAAATAAATATGGGAATTAATTTAGGGTTTGAAATTTAATTTAGGGTTTGTGAAATTTAATTTACGAATTCTAGATTAGGGTTTGTAATTTTAGGGTTTGTTTGGTTTCACAGATTAGATTCTATTTAATTGATCTAATGGTTCAGGTTCTTGGGTTTTTGCAGATTGGTGAAGGTCCGAAGGAACTGGGCTCTTTTGCTTTGCTACTGTGCTGGAGTTTTATTTGCCAACAGCAACAGGTAAATTTCTCAAATAAGTTTTATTTAATTTTATGCTCTCTTGAATTGTATGCTCCTTTGATTTAATTGTTGCTTTTAAGAGTGTAATGTGGGGACATATTTATATTCAAGTCTAAAGTATTTGGTCTTTAAGGAATCTAAGCTTTTGGAGCTTTGGTATATTTACATTAGTCATTGGTTGACCTTTTGTAATAGGTTGTGGTTTAATTTAATACTCTCTCGATGCAAACTGTTTAATACTCTCTCTATTCTGATTTAATAGGCTGTGGTTTAATACTCTCTCCAATTCTGATTTAATAATTTCTCAGATTCTGGTTTAATAGCATATGTGGAGGTTATTCTCTTCTAGTTGGAAGCCATTATTAATAAAATGGATGTCACATTAGCGACCCATATTTACCAATGTTGATCAAAGCTTAAGCAAGATCAAAATTTTTGTCTTTTTATGAGAATTACTTGGGGTATTAGGCAGACAACATTACTGATGATATTTCAAATGTTGTTTTGTTGGTGTGTTATTGTTAACAGAGAAGGTGTACAAACCAATGCCACAAGGACATCAAGGACAAGGTAATTTTGTTTGCCTCAACCGAGTAGGATTCATCTCCTTTTTAGCCTTGTCCAGCTTCTCCATATTTACCGTTATGAATGACTGTATAAACATCCTATATGGATTAAATCCGAGATGTAGTACTACTAGTGTACATGTACTGTCGATTTGCTATGTCAACTTGGCCCATCACAATTTCTTGTTTGTGTGGTAAGTATGCTCGACAAGATTCTTCAAACTTAAAGGGTAAAATGCATAGTTGAACAAATTATGTCTCCGTCTGCTTTGTAGCGTTTCTTTTACTTTCTGTTGTATATATTCTCGTTTAAGCTTACCATCAAGAACTTGAAGGATAAAATGCATAGTTTATCACCCGTTTTGAATTTAGTTGAGACAATTGATTGAATGCATTTTTAAGCGGGAACAGATCAAAGTTTAAGCAAGCTATTTCTAGATGAGCCACATATAGGCAGATTTGTGCACAGATTAGGCAAATTGGCAGATTGCTTTTGAATAGGCAGATTGTGCACATAAGCTTTTGAATTGGCAGATTTGTGCACAGATTAGTAGAAACAAATTGGCAGATTGGGCCTGCCTATGTGTCAATTTTTCAATATAAAATGTTGAATTTTAGCCCAAAAGCATAATATGTCAAATTTTTGTCCAAAAACCCAAAACCATTTCGGGATTCCCGATTTGTCCCGAAATCCCGAAAATTGAGATTCCCAAAAATTTGGTTTGGAATCGGTATTGAAATTGGAATTCCCGAAAATTTCGGTTTGGGAATCGAGACAAGGGTTTCAGTATGGGATCCCATACCGAGCCACCCCTAGTCTTACATCGTGGAGAGCTTGAGGTAGTAGGCTAACTTGCAGGCTTCATAATTAGCGAAATGGCTGGAACGATTTATTAATTCAGTAAGATCCGTAGACTTGTTGCTAAATACGATATCTCTGTGTTTTAAATGGTTGATCTTATGTTGTACTTTTGATCGTACGTCTCTTCAGTGTGTTGAATAATGTTTGGTGGATAGTAGATTTTGTCATTGGATGATTTCATGCAACTTTGGATGCAAAGATTTACCTTTTGAAGCGATTGAATCTAAAAATTTGAGTTGTATTTACTTTTACAGTAATTTTAGTGCATGAAAATGAAGGAAAATGTTTTGGTATAGAGTACAAAACTAAGAGAGCTGAACATGTATTGCTAACTTGGACAAGCATTTGGGGCAACTGATTTGTAGCTCGGTTGGTTAAAAAGCATTCGTCCTTGAACTGAGGTCTCATGTTTGAATCTCCCTCTTCATAATTGGATGAGTTTAGTATAGATTATTCTCATTGTTTGTCACAAAAAAGGATGTCACAAGCCTTGATCCTCAGATCCGGTTCCATGTTCGGATACTCGAACTCGACCTTACCGTTGTCAACCCCGGCATGAGTATCCTGCCAATTTCTCTCATGAACTTGTATTACGTTACTGATTTTATCATGATAAAAAGAATTAAAGAGCTCGTTTTCCCTATTTCCACGTGGTATTCTTAACTGAAAGATTACATTACGATACTGTAGGGAAGCTGTAGTCAATAACCACCAAAACAAGATCCGGGCAGGTGACTAAACGGCGCGCATTGAATCCGAGTGAGCGAGTCCAGTAACCTCCTTCGCTGGCCAACATTTCCAACCCACTTGTCAGCAGCGCCGCTCTCCTCCTCAAAACCCTCAAATTCTCAAATGCTTTGCTCCACCACCCACAGCTGAGACCGCGACTGAACCCAGTACGCGCCGTCCATACACCATCCCCTGCAAACTAACGCTCATCGACAAACCCTCCAATCTCCGACGACGATGGGGACCCTGGGCAGAGCAATCTACACCGTCGGATTCTGGATCCGCGAGACTGGCCAAGCCATTGACCGCCTCGGCTCCCGCCTCCAAGGCAACTACTACTTCCAAGAACAGCGTACGCCCCCAATTCTTCTCCTTCATCTCTCAATTCCTTCAAACCCTAACTCACACAAATTTGCACCCAAATTTCACAATTCTGAGTCTGTAGCTTTGTTTATTGAATGTCGAATTGAATTTTGAGATATGCGGTGGTTGAATTTTGTGTTATTTTGTTTCGATTGTTGTTATTAGTATCGCGGCATCGGACGCTGATGAACGTGTTCGACAAAGCTCCGGTGGTCGATAAGGAGGCGTTTGTGGCGCCCAGTGCGTCGATCATAGGCCAAGTTCAGGTGGGCCGAGGCTCCTCCATTTGGTACGGTTGCGTTTTGAGAGGTAAGCATTTCTGTGAAAAAGTAAGCCAATTTGTTGTTGGGAGTAGGGTAATATTAACTCCTAAAGTAGGTTAATTTTGGTTTGAGAATCCAGTTCTGTGAAAAAGTAAGCCAATTTGTTGTTGGGAGTAGAAGCGTAATCCCGAAAGATGTCGTATTTACCTGATTGTTGTTTTCGGGTGTGAAGGTGATGCTAACAGCATCAGCATTGGGTCTGGGACCAACATTCAAGACAATTCCCTTGTTCATGTAGCAAAATCTAACTTGACTGGCAAGGTTTTGCCTACCATTATCGGGGACAATGTTACTGTAGGTGAGTTATGTGTGATTGTGTTTCCGGTGATTTTAGCATGGTTTTGATGTGGGTTTAGTTTAGTGTAAGGATCTAATTCTGGTGCCGTGGTTTTTGATTTGAACTGTGCAGGCCACAGTGCTGTCTTGCATGGATGCACTGTAGAGGATGAGGCATTTGTTGGTATGGCTGCAACCTTGCTTGATGGGGTTTATGTTGAGAAACACGCCATGGTTGCTGCCGGAGCCCTTGTAAGGCAGAACACAAGGATCCCCTGTGGAGAGGTATGTCAAAACACCCTTTATTTGCCTGGAATGTGACAAGTCCGTACCCAGTTAAACTAGTATCTTGATTGTGCAAACTGTTATTACAAAAAGCTCACAATAAGTTCATCCTAGTGACTCAGTGCGAGCTGACAACTTTTATAGCTGAATGTAGCTCTTCTTGTTTATTAATTTTTAACGACCAACTTAAATTTTTCGAACTGGTTGTTTACTGAATGTTTTATAACAGGTATGGGGAGGGAATCCAGCAAAGTTCCTGAGAAAGCTCACAGAAGACGAGATGGCCTTCATCTCCCAGTCAGCCTTAAATTATTCCAACTTGGCTCAGGTTCATGCAGCTGAAAATGCAAAGCCCCTCGACGAGATAGAGTTTCAGAAGGTTCTGCGAAAGAAGTTTGCACGCCGTGATGAGGAATATGACTCGATGTTGGGTGTCACTCGTGAGACACCGGCAGAGACTACTCTTCCTGATAACGCATCGCCACCTAAGGCTGCTTAAGAAAGTACCACTATTAACGATGTGGGTAATGGTACCACCTCTTTGAGATTTAGTGTAAGCGAGTGTTTTTGTTTATGTGCGGATTTATAGCGAATGGCTGCTTTACATTTCGAATAATTTTTGGGGCCGTCTGGAGTGTGAAGGTCAAGACTCAAAACACGAAGAATAGCATATGGCTCTGCTCGTTCTCTCTGATTGATATGCAACTTCTCTTCTGTTTCGGTGTTGTGAAAGCATCTTTCAAGATCTCTTATGGCTCGTTTACTAAACCGTAATCAAAATTGGGGGAATTGATTTGATGCAGAATTGGATTGGGGAGGAATCAGAATCAGATTCCTATGGAAGGTGTTTACTAAATTGTTAAGAAACAAAATAGGAATGATGTTGGTTTCATATAAGTTGTTTATCAATTCACTTCTAATCGGAATCAAAACCGCCCTTGGTCTAAATGAATTATTTTATGTGATAATTAGTAAAATTTAATTTTCATACTATCTTAACCCATCAATGATAAAATTTTCTATCTCTTTATAAACTAATTTTTTAATTTTTTTTTTTACCTTTTCAAACCTAATTTTTATACCCACCCCATAACTTCCCAAGCCAGTAGGCAAGTTTTCTACCTTTTGAAACTTTAATTTTTCACATCTTTTCTCTTCTCCTCAGTATCCTTCGTCAGTACTCACCAGCTGCTATCGCCACCACTCTCACCCTCCCTCTCCTCCATTTTATTTTCTGTGGATCCTTCATCATCATTTCCTGCGCATCCATTGATCTCTCTCACGCGTCATACCTCCATCCCCACACAACCACGATGCCATAACCAAAGAACAACCAACTCACTACGATATCTACAGATGCCCTAGGATTCTTGAGATTGGTTCATTGGGGCACGGGGAGGTGAAAGGGAGGCAGGCAGAGAGGTCTAGGCTTGTTGATTTGAGTGGCAGATTTGGAGTTTTTAGGAATTAGATGGGGTTATAATAGGTAGAAAATTGTATTTCGGATTCCTCATTTATCCCAGGATTCAAATGACGCATCATACTCAGGAGTTCAATTCCTCCAAAATTAGGAATTCAATTCCTATCTTTCGAGTGGACCCCACCCATTTTGATTCCTCCAAATTTTAGTAAACACAAGAATAACTCGTAATCGGAATCACACTCCGACTTTTGATTCCGATTATGGACACGTAAACACGCTCTTAGATATGTAGTTTTAGAGCTTGATTGCTTTTATATATGTTTTATGTAAAGAAACAGAAAACTTCAATAGTAAGTTTTCTTGATTGTATTTACTTGACTGAGAACTTTACACATTGTGTAGGAATATATATAGCCTTTGGCTATTTACATAGATACCCCTAACTACTTTATAACTATCTTAACTAATCACAACTAATACAATCAGTTAATTTACAGTAACAGAATTATTAACAGTAGCAGACTTAGATGACTTGTCATTCTCCATAATACACCCCCTCAAGCGAGAAGGGGGATCAGAAATGAGGCCAATGGGAAGCTTGGAACACAGATAATTAAATCTGGTTTTAGACAGAGACTTGGTGTGAAGATCAGCTAATTGGTCTTCACTGCAGATGAACTTGACTTTGAGAAGTTGAGCCAAAACCAATTCCCTAATATAGTGATAATCGATCTCAACATGCTTTGTTCGAGCATGAAAGACAGGATTAGATGCTAAAGATATTGCTGATATGTTGTCACACCAAAAGTAGGGAATGTAGAGAGAGGATAGTGCAGATCTTTGAGAATCTTGCAAACCCAAGTTATCTCAGCAGCTGTGTGAGCTAAAGAGCGATATTCAGCCTCTGTAGAGGACCTTGCAACAGTACTTTGTTTCTTGGCACTCCAGCTGATAAGATTGGAACCCAAAAAATACACAATAACCAGTGGTTGATCTCCTGTCAATTGTGCAACCAGCCCAGTCAGCATCCGAGTAGGCAGAAAAGATGGACAGGACCTTTAGTGAACCACACACCATGTGAGATAGAGCCTTTGAGAAATCTGAGAACCCTTTTTGCTGCCTGGAGATGTTGTTCCCTGGGAGCATGCATGAATTGGCAGATTTGATTCACAGCAAAAGCAAGGTCGGGTCTAGTCCAAGTAAGATATTGTAAACCACCAACAATGGGGAGCGATATTCAGTAGGATTGGACAGAAGAGGGCCACTGTGATCTAATTTCTTAGAGCCAAGGGGAGTGCAACAAGGTTTTGCACCCTCCATATTTGTTTTCTTGAGAAGATCCAATAAGTACTTTGTTTGATGGAGAAATATACCCTGTGAAGATCGATGGACTTCTAATCCCAAGAAATAATGAAGAGGACCAAGGTCTTTTACTGGAAATTGAGCCCCAAGTTGCTGAATGAAGTGTTGACAGAGGTGAGGATAGGGTCCGGTGACAAGAATGTCATCAACATAGACAAGGACAATGACTAACTGAGGACCATTGAGAACAAATAAAGAAGCATCTGAGGATGATTGGGTGAATCCAAGAGAGTGAAGAGCTTGGAACAGTTTATCAAACCAAGCTCAAGGAGCTTGTTTGAGACCATACAACGATTTCCTCAACTTACACACAGATGTAGGGTGTAAGGGATCAACAAAACCAGGGGGTTGTTGGATGTAGACATCCTCCTTTAAGTCTCCATGAAGAAAGGCATTACTAATGTCCAATTGATTGAGAAACCAATTATATTGCACAGCAAGGGTAAGAAGGATCCGAATTTGAACCGTTTACCGGCAACTTTAGCAACTGGACTGAAGGTTTCTTGAAAGTCAATACCTTCTTGTTGATGAAAACCCTTGGCCACAAGCCGGGCTTTATATCTGTCAACAGTGTCATCGGGCTTCTTCTTAATCCGGAAAACCCACTTGCAGCCCACTAAGTTTTGAGAATGGTGAGAAGGAACAAGAGACCAAGTACCAGTGGTTAGCAAGGCATTAAATTCATCTTGCATAGCTTGCCTCCAATGAGCATGCTTAGAAGCTTGCAAGTATGTTGTAGGAACATAATCCATATCAACTGGAAGTGGGTGCTTAGTTGCTGTACAGGCTCTCGACGTGAGTATACCAGCCTTGGATCTAGTAATCATTGGATGAGAATTAACAGGGGCAGGAGGATGACTATGTTGATTGTGGGAGAAAGATGAATGTGCTGAAGGAGGAACAAAACTGGAAGAAGAGCCAACTGAGACAGGTGCAGGGGAGGATGAAGATGAAGAAATAGGAACAGGCACAGAAGCACATAATGGTGATGTAGATGGCTGACTAAAAACAGGAGGAATGTGTTTGCTAAAATGAAGATCCAGAGAGGATGAAATTGTTGGTGAGGAAGATGGATGACTTGGAACAGGAAAAGAGTGTTGATTGTGGGACAACTGAAATGGATAAGTACTTTCATCGAATACAACATGACGAGAGATGTAGATGCGATTGGTGATAGGATCAAGGCACCTATAGCCTTTGTGTTGAAGACTATACCCCAAGAAAACACACTTTTTGCTCTTGGGATCCAATTTGCTATGAAAGTAAGGTTTGAGCCAAGGAAAGCATTGGCAACCAAATACTTTGAGCTTAGAGTAGTCTGGATGGTTGTGAAATAGCAACTGCCAAGGGGATTGGGAAATGCCAGAAATAGGAAGGCGATTAATAAGATAGATAGCAGTGGAGAATGCTTCTACCCAGAAAATATGAGGGACATGAGATGCAAGAAGCAAAGTGCGAGCTGTTTCAACAAGGTGCATGTGTTTTCTTTCTGCACAACCGTTTTGCTCAAGGGTGTGGGGACAACTGAACTGATGAAGAATGCCATGTTTGCTGAGATATGATGCAAAAGAGTGACTAGTAAATTCACCCCCTGAATCTGAACGCAGAACCTTTATTTTATTTCCAAGTGAATTTTCTACATATGATTTGAAGACAACAAATGTAGAAAATACATCTGACTTAGATTTCAAAGGAAAGAACCAACTATATTTGCTATAGTCATCAACAATGAGCAAATAATATTGAAAACCACTACTTGATGTGATTGAGCCAGGTCCCCACAGATCACAGTGCAGTAGTTGAAGGCTGTGAGTTGTTGATGAAGTAGCAGCTTTAAATGGAAGCTTATGATTCTTGGCAAGAGCACAATCCGAACAGAAAAAGTCCACAGTAGACTTGCCTTGTAAAGCAAGATTATTGGATGAAAGGAGCCTTCTGAAAATGGAGGAGGAATGGTGACCCAAACGCTTGTGCCAAATTGTAACTGGAGCTTTAATACTAAGTAAAGCTGTAGGTGAAAGAGGATGAAGATTGCTGGAACTTTGAAGAGGATATAGAAGCCATCTCTAACCGGTCCCCGTAAAAAAGCATCTTCCCCGAAATACGATCCTTGACATAGGATCCATAAGGGTCAAGTGTCAATGAACAATTATTATCATTAACAAACTGATAAGCAGATAAGAGATTATGGGTTATGTGGGGAACATGTAAAACATTTCGCAATTGAAAAGAGTTATGAGAGGTGTGCAGAGTAGATGAACCAACATTGAGGATGGATAAACCTTTACCATCTCCAATATACACTTTATCCTCGCCAGTGTAGGGAGTAGGAGAGGTGAGGTTAGCAACATCATTAGTGATATGAGAGGTTGCCCCTGAATCAATTAACCAAGGCTGAGATGGTTTAGCAGAATGCTGTGCACACATGGCAGCAAGCTTAGCTGGAGGAATACGACCACAGATGTCAGGATTCATACGATCAAAGCAGTCAATAGCCTCATGACTGGTAGAACCACAGATTTGACAAAGCACTTTGAAGTGAGAAGAGCCTTGATTGCTGCGAAAGCCTTGATAACCTTGATTGCCACGGTTATTAGGAAAATTACCACGATTACCTCGATGACCTCGATTGGAAAAGAATTGTCCCTTAGTGTTCCTGCCACGATTAGAGTTGAACCGAGATGCAGAGTAAAGAGGGTAATTCTGAGCAGCAAAAGCAGATGGAGTAGGAAGGAGAAGAGGCTGAGACTGCACCGAGAAAGCCTGAAAAGATTCAGGGACAGGAGATGAACTGACAGTTTTGCGTCTGGCCATAGACAATTCCTTTGTGAGAAGGAGGCCATGAAGTTCATATCAAGAGAGGTAGAGAGGACAATCGGAGCATGATACAGTCGATGAAAGACTCAAATTCATCAGGCAAGCCATGTAGTGTGGCGGCGATAAGATCTCGATCAGAGACAGAAGCATCAGCAGCTTGCAGAGAATCTGAAATTTCCTTGAGTTCTTGAAGATAGTCAGAGATAGAATGCGATCATTTCTGAACAGATTGAAGGCGCGATCGCAGCTGATGGATATGAGCCTCTGAAATTCCACCAAAGCGCTGTTCAAGCTTTACCCAAAGTTCGCGAGAGGATGAAACCCCAACCGTGAACGGGATGATTTC